CCTCCTTGTCCACCCCGCGCGCGTTTTTCCTCTTCTTTTAATCTGTTTATCGCACGGCGCGCCAATGCTTATACGCGATCTTTCAAATTGTTCGCGCTAAAAATAAAGCAAACGTCATATTAACACGTATGCGCCCGCTGGCCCAAATTCCGAACGCTCTTACCGCGTTATGGATATGATTGTAACTTGTTTATTTATGGTTACGCGTGTCCCGGGATACGGAATCGCGAGAAATATCGCGATTGCCGGGATTTTCATATTTACATTGCTCGTAACGCGACACTCGAGACAGGAACGAAAAGAGCGCATTGTCTATGAGAGCGTCATGCTATAATTCTTCTCAACTTTATAGTTTATTTTTTTTTTACAGAACGTTACGAAGTATAAACTTCCGTCCTTCGATTTATCAAGACCGCCTCGGATACACGTTTTAAAACGAATAATAAACTAACTTTATCTCGAATCGGACTGCAGAATCGTCGTATGAAATTTCAAACTGGAACAGATAGCGGCGCCAAACGAAGCGTCGAATACGAACGTTACGCGCGACGAATTATTTTTCTGCGACCGCGTTCCGTAAAAACTGACGCTCGTTTTGCATTGCACGCGCAAATGTGCGCGAAAAACACGCATTTCGTTCGTTAAAATACTTCGAACCTTTGCATTCAAGCTGCTCGGAGTTTTCTGCGTTAGAAAGGTTGGGGGTGAAATGCAATATTTTAATTCGAGGCGTTTTTTTGGAGGAAAACTAGTTAGTTTCAGTTGCTCAAAACTAGGTATTCACGTTACATATACTTGTTAATTCTCGATATTGTATACAGAAGGTCAGTACTTCTAAACAGAAACAGATATTGTAGTATGGGAACACCACGTGTCCACTAACAATTACGTCCTATTTTTAGTTTTCGCGCGTTAACAATTAATCAGCCGCGACATATTATCTTTCCATTTTCAGCCAAGGCGCCTTCGAACACATTTTATCTGCGTTTTAAACTCGTATTCTCGCGTGGAACGACCACGGTACTACGTGTTCCATCAATTATCGGGCAACCTGTCCGATCCACGTGCTGAAAACTTGCTTGTCACTTACTTGTGGTCCGTTAAAAGGGGTGTCCTGGCGTTCGTTCGATGGGGGTGGGAAGGGGAGGCTAATTTCTTCGTCGAATATCCGTTACCATCTGCCACGTACTTACGTCCACGACGGCGAGTTTTCGATAATTCTTCGATGCACGCGTCTTTTTTTACGCTCGAACGCGACGGGGGTAGGTCGAGGATTCGTAATACCGAAAGGGTGGCGCGCGATACGAGAACGAAACTGATGTTTTTTAAGCGAGAAATGTTCGCAACGCAAGGCACGCGTGGAGCACGAGATTCTGTAATATCGGAATCACGGTCGTTTCGCGATCGTCAAAGATAAGAAGGGAATCAGCCCGGTGCTGGCGGCTCGGAAGCACGAGCCTAACTGGTCCGCGACCACGCTAAGTAAACGCGAGGTAAACGCGGGAGTGTCGTACGTGTCTCGCGGTTCATCGCGATTCGGTTCTGCTCGGTTCGAATGTATCGCGCATCGAGTATCGCGTTTCTTTGCTCTCTGCTATTTACCGGATCTCCTTGCTGCTTCTTTCCACGAGATTCGTCATTCCTCGGATATGCAAAGGTCTCCCGATTAGACTCATCGTCGAGCTTGACGCAACGATGGGCAAAATTTTATTCGTGAATGCGGTATGGCAGCCCAATCGTTTGTTTGTTTGCAGGTACACTGATACTACCAACTATCCGAACGCTGACATCTGTAACATTCAATCAAATATGTACATAATCTGATATATGTAACAAGGTCGTATGAGTGCATTAGCGAAATTAGAAAATAATTCGTACAATACATTTGTGGTGAATATGTAACAGCATTCGTAAAAGTATTCGAGAAAATCGCAGAATGTAAACAAACATTGCATAGTTTGCTGGTGATCTGTCCAAAGGAGCTAAAAATTTATGAAAATTAAAGTAGAAATAAAAAGTTACGAGAACCCTAGGTCTGACAGAACTTATGGGAATCGACGATCATAAATTACACTTGAACAGTGGTTCAATGGACAAAACCCGACTCGTCGCACTTGTCTACTTTAGAAAATTGGAACCGTTGGGTTGAACGAAATAACAAGAAAATTTCTAATCTAATAAAAGGAAATTTAGTCGCCGGATGAGTTTACGAAACATCTGCACGCTGACGTTTTAAAAGAAACAACGTAGCCCGAGAACAGATTTAGGGATTCTGAAACGTGGTCGTAAGTGTTACACACATAAATTACATATTCGAGTCACGGTATTTAGATGATCTAGTTTGGATCTATAAAAAGTCGATAGAAAGCAAGATGTATCGCTCGAGTGTCTTTGGGGAACGTTAAATTAGCTTTCTCAAACAACTGTGGACATTTAATACGACATAAATCTCGCGGTCGAATAACAAAACGTTCGAGAATCTTGTGCAAACAAATTTATAAAATCAATTTAAACGTTTTGACTGATAATTTGTGTCTTTTGCGATACTATGAGCAGAAATGTTAACGAAGAGAATTGTACAAAATTATAAGCTAGGAAATAATTTTTCAAACAATTTTAAAAGCGTTTTTTATATTGGGTAATTCTGATATGCTTTTTATATATGGGTAAGTATTATTATATGCTGGAGATAATCCAATAAAAACTCTTACATTTCGCATCTTTTTAACCTGATTCTTTAACGAGCGATTTGTGTCACGTTCATGATAACGCTCTTGTAACGCGTTGAAATATCAACGATCTAATCTTTCGCTTGAAAATTAATTGCTATTTTAAATGTCCACAGTCGATTGAAGGATATCTATTTTTACGTCCTTGGAAAAACCTTTGAGAAACATACACCGACTTTTTATAGATCTAAACTAGATCATCCAAATACCATAATTCAGAAATCTGTTCTCAGGGTATATTTTCTTGAAACGTCAGCGTACAGATGTTTTGTAAGCTCGTTTTTAGATTAAATCTCTTCCGTTAACAAAATCGTTTACAATGGAAGAGGCTTTTGTTTATTGTTAATACGCGTAAAATATGTTCAACAACGTTTCTTACATTTCTACGCAACGTAAGTGATTAAAATGAGCAGTCCAAGATATAATTGCTCAAATTATAAAATAATATTAATGAAAAAAAAAAGATGGGCTCGTCCGGGATTTGAACCCGGGACCTCTCGCACCCTAAGCGAGAATCATACCCCTAGACCAACGAGCCATCGGTGAAAGAACTTTTTAAAATATCAAATATAAATCCAACCTCGACACTATCTTTCGATTCTTAAAATTTAAAACGACATATATTGTCATATCGATACATTATATGACAATTGTTACCTCAACTAGTGATATACATTTAAAATAACTATCAGCTCTCTTAACACTGAACGATATAAAATTCAATGTTTCTTTCTAGATTGGAACACACACTCAAATTAATATTCACGAATACTACAATTAGATTAGATAGTTTTTTACATGCTTTAACGATTTGCAATTATAATTACACAGCAATTGGACGATAATTACCATGTTATCGCATGCAATCGTGTCGTAGCAAATGGAATCAAATTACAATTCTGTTCGACTCTGAATAAAATATACGTATACCATCGAATAGTCGCGAAGATTTCAGTTTTAAAGAAATTCTCTAATGAGATTTCCTAATTTTCTACTGTTAAAAACTAAATGACGCTCTTGGATGCATTTCGTATGGATTATGCGCTCATTTTATACGTAATAAAATTTTATTAACAATCGATATCGACAGTTTAGAGAGCACAGATACATTCTGTAAGGAACAGATATCAACCTGGCGCCGTGGCTTAGTTGGTTAAAGCGCCTGTCTAGTAAACAGGAGATCGAGGGTTCGAATCCCTCCGGGGCCTACATCATTTTTTTTTCTACCCTTATAATTTTCTTCGTCAGTTTCTCACTACCTACAAGAAGGCTAAATTAAATGCATTTATATTAATATATATATACGATTTATACAGATTCGTAAATTCTTTTGGTATTACGTACAGTCATGTCGAACGATAACACGCGAAGTGCAATCACGTTCTATCTCAAAGTCAAATGGCTAAGCAATCAAATACAGTCTCCACTATGTGAACTTCTATTATCTGAACGTTCTACTATTACGAATGCTCGTAATTTTGTTATACGAAAGAATATGATCTTGTGATGCGTCCTTCCTATTGTTGAAACATTCTTTTATAACGATTAAAATTAATCCGATCCAGATAATGTAGGAAAATTTTTATCTATAGGAAATGTGTTTCGTATGAATCTACAAATCTATATTTGTAACTATTACAAACAGGACATCCTTTGTCGAACGATTAAAAGGCAATTACCAAATCCTTCCGCTGAAGAATTATCGGCTTACCTCATACATTGCTGATCGCATAGGAGTTCCGCTTTTGTGGCTTTGTTACGCAGAAATGGGCAAAATTCTTAAGTAAATTAAAACGTTGAATAACGTGTAAAAAGGATAAACGACTTTTTGTGCGTTTCGTGTTGCGCAAAAATTACTATTTAAATTGCAGAATTAAATATTTCCCGACGAATAAATACACATTTAAGCAGTTAATCGAGTAAACATCGTTGATAAAATCCGATGTCTGTTGATTTTATTCATCATTTATTATTCCAAGAAACTGTTGCTCATCTCTGGTAGTACGCAACCAAAAATGGTCGTCCCTAATTGAACGTGATCAAATTAATACTAAGCTAAAGCCCAAGACTGTTTTACTTAAAATGTCGAATAAACGATATTTTTACCGAGGAAGCCCTCCATTAAGCACGTTTGCGTGATCGATACAGAAACGATACTCTATGGTAACGAAGCGTTTGAGTAAACGTCCTGTTCAGCGATAAAATTTCGAACCTCTTGGACTGCACATCTAGAACTCTAGGACTCTAAAAGTATCGTCATTACGTAGAAACATGGGGAATACAGAGAGCAACGTAGCGAGTGGAGTGAAAAAACAGACGGATGCCGGATCTATCTTGCTGTATAAATTGATCGACTTGAAAGGTACAGTGAGTCAGAGAATTATTGGCACAAACAACAATTTTATAGAGAGGGGATAGGAACTGCACAACATTAAAAAGACAGTTTTTTCTACCGCGGTTCTATGCGTACCTATTTCGACCAAAAAAGAGTAATAAAATCGTTTCAGAGAATTGTATTTGTATTTTACCTTATCGATTTCCAAGCGTAAACAAGCGTCTGATGACTGATAGGCCACTCCCCAGAGACAAAAAGTCCACTCAAGAATGCAATAATTACAAGTAAACGCTGTATCGCAATAGCGGGTGCATTTGAATCCGAATGGAACTTCTAATTATTGCATTTTTAAAAGGATCGAGCCTATCACGGACGACAGCGTAAATCGAGCTTGTCGGAAAGCGGATATTGAAGATGACCGTTTGGGGGTTCACGAACAGGAGGTGGTCTATTGGTGGACATGATGAAAAGAGCCACGCAGACCAAACAATATGCCGAGCTGGACCACGCTCTGAGGACAAAAGTGGAGCCGTATTTGTACAACAAAGGAAAAGGTAAATGGATTCCAATCGAGAAGCTGGTTTTGCTGCGGAACAAAGATCGACCGAAACACAAAATGGTAAAAAAGTCTCGTCGGACATCCTGGAGCGTTCGTTACTTTTTACACGTTCGACGATCGCGTTTCAGCTACCGCCGTTAAAGGCTATGGAGAATCCAAGCGATTACGACATAGACAAGGACATGGGCGACGAGGAAGTCGACGAGACGACTATAGGTAATGAGAACTATAGCAGAGTCACTGGCGCGGTCAGAAATTCACCAAAGGGGGGAGTAATTGAAAATTAAAAACGGGGTTCCCTAGATTTTCTCAGGCGATTATACGTACAGAATTAAAATTACTATTTTCATTAAGTTTCGAATTATGTAAATAAAAGGTTTCGAGTGCCCCATCCTTGAAAAATCTATGGCGCCCCGCTTTTTTCCTCTCTGAGCCGTGTAGGTTGTTCTGTGTGACAGATACGAGCAAATACAGATTAGTCTGCTGGAGTTTGAGTCAAAGAGGCGCGGTCGGTGAAACGATTCTACATTTGTGCATGTTACACGCGACTGCTATCCACATCGACCTGGCAAAACGTTTATTGCGCTTTTATCCGAAGCTCATCAACGATATTTACATCAGCGACGAATACTATGGCGAGTGCTCAGTTTCCTTTCATTTATCCGGCGATTACTGTACCTCGTACGCTAGTCTGAACCTTTTCTCTGCCCTCCAACAGGCGAGAACGCGTTGCATATCGCGATAGTAAACGAAGATCCATCGTTGGTGAAGTTCTTACTGGACAGTGGCGCGGACGTTCACGAGAGATGCGTGGGGAACTTTATGTGCCCAGAAGATCAGAAAGCATCGAGGGTGGACAGCGTAGATCACGAATGGGTATCCGTGGCGCCGGAAACGAATTACGATGGGTAATATAACGCTTTTTCGCTTATACCGACGACTTAACTCCTAACAGGGCGCTAGAATACTCTCTTAAAAACATCGTGTTTGTTTTGTTCAAACAAAACACCTAAAAAGAACAACTGCTAACATTATGACGCAAAGGTTAAAGAATTTCTGAAAAAGGTACCAGATTCGTTGTCTGTTCGAGTAGGTACGTCTATTGGGGCGAATATCCTTTGAGTTTCGCGGCGTGTTTGGGCCAGGAGGAATGTTACAGACTGATGCTAGCGAGGGGCGCGGACCCTGATAAGCAAGACACAAACGGCAACACAGTTTTGCACATGTTGGTGATCTACGAAAAAATGGTACATGATTAAAAAGACCAGACCTCTGACAAAGAGGAGAGAATGAATGACGAGTTCCTTTTGCAACGCAAGGCTTCGTTCGACATGGCGTACGAAGTTGGCGCGTCCCTGTCGCTGAGGAACGCCCAGCATCTAACACCGTTGACGTTATCGGCGAAATTAGCCCGGATCGACATGTTCTTCCACATCCTGAACATCGAGAGGGAAATTTACTGGCAGATAGGGAGCATCACTTGCGCGGCGTACCCCCTATCGCAAATCGACACCATCGACGTCACCACGGGCAACATCAGTCACAATTCTGCCCTGAACCTGGTGGTTTTCGGCGTAAGTTGATAATAGAAACTTCGCGTATGATTATAGTTTCAACCCTAATTCTTTTCCCCCTGTTTAGGAGAAGGACGAACACTTGGAGCTGATGGACGGCATCCTGATCGACCTGCTCAACGCGAAATGGAACACCTTTGTGAAATCTCGATTTTACCGTCAGTTCTTCCTTTTCTGTTTCTACTTTGTCCTGTCGTTGATCAGTTTCACCCTTCGTCCGGGACCCTCGCCAGTTACATCCGGCGAGACTACGAATGCAACTGACGCGTCCATCATGTCATCAACGACACCTAGTTCAGATCTTCCTTCCAACTCTACCCGAGAAATCTCGAAAAGTTATCCAAACTCCAACCTTTCCCAATTGATCGAGAGGGCCTTCACCGCCAGCCTGATCGCGAACCTTAAATCCTCCTTAAACGTAACACCGACCTACTTCGAGAAACTGAAGCGCGACATTCTGGCGGATATAACGTCCACGTTGAGGAACGTTTGGTCGACGGACGGGAATGGGAACGAACTTGTTAACAACTCCTACGAAATGCCTTCTGGTACCAGCGAACACGTGTACCAAAGTAAAAACGATACGGCGACGGATTATCTTAGAGTCACGATCAACAACAGCCTACTCGTCGCGAAGAACTTGCTGCTCGATGATGTCGCGTTGCCCGGTAGCAACGACAAGAATAACTGGTGGGTTGCGTCGCGTTGCAACGACTTTTTGCACGAAGAAATAATGATTAATTTGTTTGGCGTCCGCGTATTCATGAGCGATTGAGGAAGACGTTTGTTCGAACTCAGGTGGAGCGACCTGACCGAGGAGTGCAGACTGATGCAGCTGGCCACGTTCTCGGGAAAGATTCGCCTAACGGCAGAAATGCTGATGGAAGTCGCGGCTCTGCTCTACATTATTGCAGCGCTGCGGGAGGCCCGGTTTCTGGGTCTTAATATGTTCATTGAGAATCTGGTAGGACGATCATTAATTTCGCAGAATCGGTAGGTTCGTTCGGGGACAAAAAAATGTGGATACTAACGTTGTTTCCAGATGACCGCCCCGTCGCGAGTTATGTTCCTCTTCTCCTGTTGCATATTGTTAACTTTCCCGTTTCTGCGACTGTCTTGCGAGGACGAAGTCGAGGACATGTTAGCTGTCGTCGTGATGCTAACCACTGCACCCTATTTCCTGTTCTTCTGCAGAGGTTTCAAGACGGTTGGTCCTTTCGTCGTGATGATCTACAGAATGATCATGGGGGATCTCATCCGTTTCGTTTCCATCTATTCGGTGTTCGTGATGGGATTCTCTCAGGGTGAGGACTTTGTCGTACTATCGATCATCCGTTGCATGAAAGCTCGCAGAGATTCTGAAAAGCATCGTAAAATTGAGATATCCGATATATGCTCGTGCCTTTTGGGTAAAAGGATGATCCTCGAGCAAACCAAAGGAAGTTCGACGTGGCCTAAACGAATCTCAAGACGGTCCAAACAACTTTCCAACGGATTCTCCTTCCATTTTTCTCCTACCGCCTGATTTCGTTCCGTTTTTACGATCGCTTCGCTCCCTTGGCCTGAAACTTTTGGCACGTGATTGCAGATACATCGCGTCTCATTTTATTCGCATCACGAATATAAATAGCACCGAGATCGATTCGGTAAAGTCCACCCATCCGGTTGCTCGATCGAACGACCACATTATCGCCGATGCAAACAACGATTAACGATCGATCGACAGGATCGACGCGGCGGCGGCGCGGCGAATATTCCGCGAGGCGCCCCGAGCCGCCAGTTTCTTTTTCTTTTTCTTTTTTTTTTTGGAGTCATTAGCCAAATTATGACGACATCGAGGAGACGATGCCACTTCGCGTTATGACCTAATCGTCTGTTTTGCCGCATCAGATGCGACATTGACACAGATTATTGCACTGGAAGCTCGTCCAACGTGAAACAGTCGTCTGCTACGAGCAGAGGCACTACGCCAAGATCTTACAAAGTTATCTACAGCAGCAGGCAAAAGTTTCGAACGACATTTTTTTGTAGATAGCCGCACAATATCATCGATACTAATTAGTAAACAATTCGTAGTTGGTCTCATACTCTACTTATGCTCGACCTAACAACTTCCAAAACATAAACAGTATTGAATATATACAAATTTAAGTGGAACACACGCAACGAGATGTTAGACTAATTAATTTAATTAGCTCTGAAATTCTGGCGTCACTTTTAATTGTATGGTAAAGCTTTGTCAGAGCTTGTCTCCCTCGCAATATTATGTAATCAAATTGTTCTATCAACGTCATTCCAACCATGTTGCATTAAGATATTATCGCGTGTTTGGGCAGGTGTTTCAAGAACTTTATTGCAGTTGTGCAATAACCAACTCTTTGTTGATAAGAATTACGTTTCCGTTTGTTGGCGACGTAGAAGTTGGAAGTATTTGAAATTCTCATTTTGATGACATTCGTTTCGAGATTAATAAACTCTTGACTAGTATGTTATATGAAAATTAAAAAAACGTTTACCCTATAAAAGTTCTGGGGTTAGTGTCATGGGATTCATCACGGTCCTTTTATTAGAAAGTAGCTTCACTTTCTCCAATCCGTGACCAGATCCTTTAGTACAAATATTTATCATATTCCACGAAGCATCGATGACCGTCGGGTCATTGACACCTTGCATGGGGTCCTTCGGGCCATTTAACACTAGATTACCATATTTAAAATTGCAGAACGCGTAAATATTATTTTTTAACAACTTATGTTGAACTTGTTTGGTGCAATGAATACATATTCTAATTAAAAGAAAAATCGTATTTTAAGATAATCGTTAACATGAAAGGTATCAATAAACAATCAATGCCCGTAAATCTAGTGTTAAATCGCTGTCGAATCTATACCTCAATGGCACCTTTATTTTCCCGGCTCCTTGCAGTACAATATTCTTAAGAAACGGCCTACATCGCTAAATATGTTGTCCTCGACGCGTGTGTCTTCTTTCTTAATTAAACGTTCACGCTAAAATACATCATTGTTACCCGTTAAGTAAAACATATGTTGGGAGTTCAGTTTTATACACTTGTTTTAATTTTATAGAGATAAATATGTACCGTGATCTACCATTTCTTCATCTTGCAGCCTATTACATTATATTTCTATCGTTCGACAATCCCAATACACCGGAAGGAGTCGACGATTCGATAAGCAATCCGATGCCATCGCCGATGGAGAGCGTGATGGCTATGTTTTTAATGAGCATGACGAACTTCGGTGATTACTACGGTGCGTTCGAACGAACGCAACATGAGATGGAAGGCAAGGTACATGTATACTTTGCCCTTCAACAATTTTATGTTATTTCTCTGTTGCATCCCATCGTGTTTACATATATGACATTTTGAGTAAAACACACACGCGTGTCTATGCAAACTTATCTTGATAATTGTTACGCGCTGTATCAGTGATAAATTTTTGCCTTTATCAATTTGATAAAATTGTTTTAAAACACAAAATAAATATTAGACATACAGGAAGTAATATATTTACATACATATGTATTATTTGTACTATTATTATTATTTTAGTAAGCTTACCATCGCATTCTATTAGCACCTACCAACAATTCACGCGAACGCTAATTCTATTTATAGTTCCTGTTCGTTGTGTACATGGCGATCGTAGCGATTTTGCTTGTAAACATGTTGATCGCTATGATGGGGAACACGTATCAGAAAATCGCTGAAACTAGGAACGAATGGCAGAGACAAGTACTTTTTTCCTTCTCTTTTCTCGTACCCTATCATCTAATCATATTTTTATTAATATATGCGTTGCAGTGGGCACGCATAGTGTTGGTAGTAGAAAGAGGAGTAAGTCCAAAGGAAAGGCTGAAAAAGCTAACGGATTATTCGCAGCCAATGTCCGACGGTCGCAGAGCATTGGTACTTCGTTTATATCAATCGGTAAATAATACCTAATCATCGCGTTAAAATGTTGATGAGCACGAAACAATTGAACGATACGCACGTTTCAGGAAGAGGATAAAGAAGAAATGAAAGAAATTTTGGAAATGAAGAGGACGCACGATAAATTATTCAAGAAAAGGCAAGCCAAACTGGCGAAGGAAAAAGTCATCGCGTCTGAAGATAATGTTATTTTGTAATTCAATGTCTGTATTTCGAAAAATACGAATATATTTACTGTACCGCCGCTACTATAAATGCATAAAAGAAACGAGGGGCAATTGAAGCGCTGTTTTTATACCTAACCTCAATTAAGTAATGTATCCTTGTCTGAAATTACTTTATCCGGGTGTTCTTCGTTACGATGCGAATCGTCGAATGAAAAATAGTATATACCGACATAACGCAATAAAAATACCTATTGTGGTAACTATAGCAACCGTTTACTGTAGCTAGTAAACGATTCTCGTGGCTCGTGAGCTTGCAACATTGTTGCTTCGAGTCGTACCTTCCTCGAAAGAGAAATAACCTGAAAATTGATATGGAAATGAGTAAATTAAGATCGCCGATCGATTATAAAAATTTGGAGTTAGAACTTGTAGAGGCCCTTAAAGCTGACGAGTTGTACAGATTACAAAATGACGCGAAAATCAGAGCGGTGGAGCAGAATGTTCCTACGTACGAAGACTTTAGACAAATGGTGATGTTACGATGTGTTTATCTAAATCGCGTAACGATTTAAACTAAATAAAAATCACTTCCAGGTAAATGCCGCGCACCTAAAGCCTTTGCAACGTACGGACGTTCGATCCAAAGTAAAAGGATTTTGGAATCCTCTCGTTAATAAGAATAACTCGAATACGAAAAGAACACTCGTCGAGTTTAAAGACGAACGGTTCGACGAGAACAAAAGTAGCAACGTCTTGCCCAACACTTACGAAGAATTTATTCGAGTTTGGAAAACGATCAACGGATACGAAGCCAAATTTAATTATCTTAGAAACTTGAGGTAAGACGTACGCGAATCTTAACGCTAAACAAATCGTTTGATCTAATGTAAACATTCATGTGCTTGAATGATATTCCAGAGAAATTTTACGGGGGAAAATTTTTCGTACAGAAATTCCTTCTGTGTTATTCATCGAGCTAATAAACGTATGCCTGGATCGAACTGTTGCGCTTGCGGACGACATCGAGCCCGTCGTTGACATTCTAACTGTTTTCAGCGAGTGCAACAGATTTTGCTTGACGGTGTGTTTTATGGGAGAAAACGAAAGAGCGACGAGCACACGACTGTTCCACGATTTGCTTGCCAGAGCGGAATGTCGGGACGAACGTCTCAAGAACGCGATAAAGTCGTTGGGATTAACTTACGGAATCGTACTCGAATAGCGATATTGTTCTCGCGTTCGAAATAGAAAAACTATTAACAAACGATAACGAACAGGGATTCTCGGCGCTCGTGACAGCGAATTGTAAAAGGTTAAAAAAAGTATTTGAAAGAGTGCAACACTACCGACAGCACCGGGAGAATCACGTGATCGTGAAATGCTCAATATGGCCGCGCATACCGTAACACCAGTTCGAGGTACCGTGATTGTAGCCGATTAATGTCTAGTTCGCAGATCAACCGAAATTCCGAGTCACCACTTCTCTTTAATCGAAATGACACGAGGATTTAGTACCGAATTCTCTTCTTGTCGTTGTCCGAGACGTATCTCGCGATGCTTACACATACGTACGCGGAATGACCGAATGTTGTACGTGTGTGCATATATCCGTACGTTCTCACGCATTTGGTAAACAAACAGAAGAGTCGAATCGCTCGATATAGAATGTCAATCGGTAGTGCTTCTTGCTACACCGTCCGGCAAGAAATTAGAAATTAAATGCGGTACGTTAACTGTCATATATCGCGATTCCATCTAATTCGAAACGTTCTGATAAGGTATACACATGTAACGTATGCCTGGAACTATATGCGTACAGTACGTTTAGCTAGTGTATCGTTTGACATCACGTGACGCGAATAATATATCGTAATGAGCAAAACTAGAAATATCTAAAGCAATTGCATGTTCTGTCGTTCCGAGGAATATACATACGCGTCGTACAATTGTTTGACATCCCGTAAAAGACGGAAGTAGCGGTTGTGTATCCGTGGTAAAAAGGTAAACAGAAATTTTATCGAGTGACTCATCGAGAATATGCGGTTAGAAGAGATGCCATTGCGTTTGAGCTCGGACGAGCGGGATTTTGAAATGGACGAGGAAACCGACTATCTTCTTCAACCGTCCGAAGATAGTATACGACTTTTAACGTCGAGAAGACGACGAATCAACGATTGTTCCATATTCCTTAGGAATTTTCTTTGCGGGTGAGTTTTTTCCTCTGTGTTCGATTTTCCAACGAACAAATAAATGGGAAAAACAGGTAATATTCGATCGACGATTTCTATTAAATTACAATTGTAACCAACAAGAGAAATAATAAAATTTAGTCAGTGCAGAAAGTGTGACGTTTAAAGCGCAGAAATAAGTCTCTAAATAAAAGGAGCCGTGCTTCTGTTTGAATGTTGCCGCTATGTATGATTATTATGCTCGATCTTAAAAAATAATGTATCAAAATTTCCAGACGATTAGTTTTAGCAATATTTTTAGTAACACGCGTTTAACGGAGGTATTAATAATGTTACTTTGCACGATAAATGTTGAAACATAAACTACGTACGATATTTTCATTTCTACGATCTACCGATAATATTATTATGATTATTCTTGTAAACAATATATACAGTACAAACGCCTTAATAAATAATCTTGATTTGCATTGAATCGTTCAATTTAAGACTATTGTTTCCAACTATTATTTTTAAAAACTATTCTTTTTAAAACCGTTACTAAACGTTTATCTTTACGAATTTGAATATATTTCATAAAAGGTTCGAGAGAAACGCAAAAACATTTTACCTTAAATGGTGTAAATATGTACAGTGTGCATAATTCGATTCACTGTAGCAAGACGATGGATTCGTCTTATAAGCGCGTGCTTCGTGGATGTTGTATGATGTCACAACCGTCACAACAGAGTCGTGTTAAACGTCGAAAAATTTTTTCCGAGACAATTTTTCTTAGCGAGAGAATAAATAATATTGTTCTCTTATATGGTTTTTAACGACGAAATATCTAAATGGAGACGCAAAGCAATGTTATAAGGCTATCGAAAGAAGATATCCCGTTAATATCTAGGCCGCGAAATGACAACTCATGGACAAGGTGACGTACATTTTGCTGTGGCCAGAAAACTTCGATCTCCATATAGTTCTCGTTCTTTCGGAAGCGTTAATTAGTTATTATCGACTATTTTTACGGCGTTTAGCTCAATTTTGATCATGCTTTGCAACAAGTATCGTGAAATTTATATCCAGCTCTGCTCCGTGTTAAATAAGTATGTGTCTCGTATTGTAATCGTTATCTACGAATTTTCGATTTCTTTCGTTTTTCGTTCGAATAAATAGCTCGTAATTGCTTGAACGATAATGTTGTTAACGTTTTAAAACGATAATGATATATAATCAGTTAGTAGTTAATTACCCTCTTACCTTAGCTTTCTACATATTCTTTGTTTTGACTCATAGGTGTTGTACTTGGATGTGGAGAAGATGTTGCAGAAAACGCGAATTAAGAGCCAGAGTGATTCATATCGGTCAGCCGATGCATGAAAAGTTCCCCACTAATGTTATACGAAATCAAAAGTACAATGTTGTCACTTTTTTGCCCTTGGTGAGATTCAGTGCCAAGCATAGAAACATACTGTAACATAAAAGTAGAAAATTAATGTTATTTTCGTCGTGTTTTAGGTTCTCTTCCAACAATTTAAATTTTTCCTGAATTTATATTTTTTACTTATGGCAATATCTCAGTTCATACCGGACATACGAATAGGATACTTGTACACATATTGGGGACCATTATGTTTTGTGTTAACTGTTACAATTTGTCGAGAGGCCATCGATGACTTCAGACGGTACAAAAGAGACAAAGAAGTTAATGCCCAGAAATATTACAGACTGGTAAAAGGTTTCGATACGCCGGAATTGGTACCAAGCTCGAAGTTGAGAGTAGGTGATCTGGTAAGCGATCGAATAAAATAATAAAAAATGTTACGTTTAAATGCAGTATAAAACAAAAAACATTTTATTTCCCTGTTCTCAGGTAATAGTAGAAAAAGGTCAGAGAGTACCAGCTGATTTGGTTTTATTGCGTACGACGGAAAAATCCGGAGCGTGTTTTGTGAGAACCGATCAATTAGATGGGGAAACAGACTGGAAGTTACGGCTGGCTGTACCGGCTACCCAAAAATTAGAATCTAATTCTCAATTATTTGATATAAAAGCAAGTTTATACGTTGAGAAACCACAGAAAGATATACACAGCTTTATTGGTACATTCACGAGAGTGAGTCTTCAAATATATAATTTCTCTCCGAAAGTTATTTGCAATGAGAAATAAACATTTTTGCGATATATCTTACAGTATGATGGATACAGCAGCGAGGAAAGCTTAGGTGTAGACAACACGTTATGGGCAAATACGGCTGTAGCGTCAGGTTCCGCTCTTGGTATCGTTGTATATACAGGGCAGGAAACTAGATCTCTCATGAATCATTCTGCTCCGCGATCGAAAGTCGGCTTATTAGATCAAGAAATAAATCAGTTGACGAAGGTATTGTTCAATTACGATGGTGCCTTGGATATTGGTCGACGTTCGGGATCAAAACTGGCCGAAGTTGAAAGGAGAGAAACCTTCCAGGAAATTCCGTGTCTCTTTCTTTCAGAGAACGCGAGCATATCGACTATCTCACTGTAGTTTTATAAACATAAACACACTTGTCCGTTGAGACAAGCGGGAAGCCAGTTCCAAGAACTGGCGAGGATAGCAACCGGCTAATTTCCAAGGCATCGATGTACATATTAAAAAAGCTGTGTAATTTCGACTGTAATTTCTCCCATTATTTTGTTATATCAATAATTCTAAATTTTAACTTTATAGGTCTTGTTTTGCGCTGTGATCGGCCTTGCGTTGGTAATGATGTCTTTGAAAGGATTTAATGGACCGTGGTACCGTTATATGTTCCGTTTCGTTTTATTATTTTCGTACATAATTCCGATCAGTTTAAGAGTAAACTTGGATATGGGGAAAGCATTTTATGCATGGTGCATACAGAGAGATAAAGAAATTGCTGGTACAGTCGTGAGAACGACTACTATACCGGAAGAACTTGGCCGTATCTCGTATTTGTTAAGCGACAAAACCGGCACGTTAACTCAGAACAAAATGGTTTTCAAAAAACTACACTTGGGCATGATATCTTACGGTCAAGAAACATTTGACGAAGTTATGAACGTGCTGAAAACGTGCTACTCTGTCAATTCAAAAACTTCACCGGTGAAACCGGCGGCATCCTTACATAGTGGAAAAGTAAGAAGATCTGAAAGTACTAGAATATACGATGCCGTGCATGCTTTGGCGTTGTGTCACAATGTGACGCCGGTTTACGACGAAATAAATAAATCCTCCAACTTGGACACGGTTAGCGTGCAAACAGGGGAAACGGAAGATTCTGGTTCTATTCAAAGGTAATTTTCTTTTATACAGGGTGTTCGACCACCCCTGGGAAAAATTTTAATGGGAGATTCTGGAGGCCAAACTAAGACGAAAATCAAGAATATCAATTTGTTGATTGAGGCTTCGTTAAAAAGTTATTAACAAAATTAAATTCACAAATTTCAAATCATTCACGGAAAATTTATTTTCGGTTGCGGGGATCAATTGCAATCATTTTTGGTCATTACACATACCTCCGAAATCCTACTCAGTTTCGAGAAAAAAATTCCTTACCGAAAGTATAATTTCAGGCCAGAAATGTCACTCCAAAATTTCGTGGGTATCTTTAAAACGTCATAACTTGTGAACGGATTGAAGGATTTTAATGTTTCAAAAGGCAATTAACGCGTATTTTAGCGAAGAATATGTAGAAATTCTGACAATATTGAAAAAGTTGTTCCTTGACCCCGTAAAGTGAGAAAAACACCATAAAAATGGTACAATTTTCGAACGTTCATAACTCCTACAATAGTGAATATATTGCAATGAAACTTTTTTCTGAAGTAGAGCTCATGGGTATCTACAAAATAGTATTAGACAACTTTTCTGTAGTTCGTCAAATAGATTTACTAAAAAGGAAAAGCGAACTTTTAAGAAAAATCGACAGGGGGGTAGTGCGTAAATTCGGCGAAAAAAAAAAATTTCAAATCGTTTTGGAAAAATTATTTTTGGTTGCTGGAGCCAATTACAATCATTTTTGGTTAATAGACACACCCCCGAATTCCTACGCACTTCCGAGAAAAAAATTCGAGTAGGTGGAGAAAGTCGACAAAATTAAAAAATTTCAAATCGTTTTGGAAAAATTATTTTTGATTGCAGGAGCCAATTACAATCATTTTTGGTGAATATACATACTCTCGAATTCCTAACCATTTTCGAGAAAAAAATTCTTTACCGAAAATATACTGTGAACCGGAAATGTTTCTACAACTTTTTAACGAAGTCTCAATCAACAAATTAGTATTCTTGATTTTCGTCTTATTTTGGCCTCTAGAACCTCCGATTAAAATTTTTCTCAGGGATGGTCGAACACCCTGTATAGATAGAGTCATTTCAAGCATTTTATCGTAATTGTAAAACGTTTTCGATTCTTCAGTCAAACGGAAGCGGACCAGCATTATTATTTGCCAGAACAAAAACGCAATTATCAAGCTTCTAGCCCAGACGAAGTGGCATTGGTGAAATGGACGGAAGAAATGGGATTAGCTTTAGTAAAGCGCGATCTGAATATTATGCAGTTGAAAGCACCGAGTGGCAAAATTTTAAACTATGCAATTCTGCAAATATTTCCATTCACGTCGGAGACCAAAAGAATGGGAATAATAGTGAAAGAGGAATCTAGTTCTGAAATAGTATTTTATCTGAAAGGAGCGGATGTAGTTATGTCAGGAATAGTACAGTACAACGATTGGCTGGAAGAAGTCTGCGGTAACATGGCTCGAGAAGGTCTGAGAACGCTGGTTGTCGCAAAAAAGAATTTGACGGAAGAACAATATCTCGATTTTGAAGCAAGGTACGTGCCACGCGACGAAGCGATTGGAAACAATTTTTTTCACTTGGAAAATATTTTTCTTTCAGACATTATGCAGCGAGAATGAGCGTCAGTGATCGTGTTTCAAGAGTCGCCGCGGTTGTCGAAAGTTTAGAAAGGGAGATGGAATTACTGTGTGTGACCGGCGTTGAAGATAGACTGCAAGATAGAGTAAGACCAACATTGGAAGTGCTAAGGAACGCTGGGATTAAAGTAAGTGCATCGTAAGGAATTTGATCGTTTCCTGACGGGTCTAATTTTTTTTATCATCTTTAGATTTGGATGCTGACCGGTGATAAATTGGAAACTGCAACGTGTATAGCAAAATCTTCGCGTTTAGTTTCACGAACGCAGGGTCTTTACGTTTTCAAATCTGTGGTAACGCGCACGGATGCTCATTTGGAATTAAATACGTTTCGTAAAAAGCAAGACTGTGCCTTAGTTATCAGCGGGGATTCTCTGGAGGTGTGTTTGCAATGCTACGAACAAGAATTCTTGGAGCTAGCATGCGGTTCACCCGCTGTTGTTTGTTGTCGATGTTCTCCCACGCAAAAAGCCGAAGTTGTCAGTCTTATCCAAAGACACACAGGTAAAAAAACCGCGGCTGTCGGGGACGGTGGAAACGATGTATCCATGATACAGGCAGCGGATGCTGGTAAATATTATTCTCGTATTGTTTCTATCAGAATGTGTCCATCATGTTTTTTACTTGTCGAACAGGCTTATAGAGTAGCATTTGACAATTTATTGTTTTGTAGGCATAGGTCTTGAGGGTCTTGAAGGTAGACAGGCCTCTTTGGCCGCAGATTTTTCCATCTCCCAATTTAGCCATCTGGCTAATCTCTTATTGGTCCACGGACGAAGGAGTTACAAACGGTCTGCTGCTTTAAGTCAATTCGTTATTCATCGTGGTTTAATTATCTCGACCATGCAAGCTGTATTTTCTGCAGTCTTTTATTTATCGTCGGTATCCTTATATCAGGGATTTTTAATGGTGGGGTAAGTACAAAATTAGATATTCTTGAACCAGTTCCTCGAGCATGGTAAAAATAAAATTTATTATTATTTTTCAGATATGGAACGATATATACGATGTTTCCAGTATTTTCATTGGTGTTGGACAAAGACGTATCCGGGAAAATTGCGCTCACCTATCCAGAGCTATATAAAGAACTTAGTAAAGGTCGATCGTTATCTTACAAGACATTTTTCATGTGGATTTTAATAAGCATATATCAAGGTATATCAGACATTTTTGTTGACCGTATACGTTTCAGGAATATGTTAACTTTCCGTGTCGTGTATTTTCTAGGTGGAGTTATAATGTACGGCGCGCTTATAATGTTTGAAGACGAATTCATTCACATAGTAGCCATTAGTTTCACAGCGCTCGTTCTGACGGAATTAATTATGGTAGCTTTAACGATCAGAACATGGCACCACATTATGATACTTGCAGAGATTTTCTCCTTGGCTCTTTATTTGTTATCTCTAGTCGTTCTTAAAGACTACTTTGGTATGTTTCGTTTGTATCTTTTAAGAAATTAATATCTATATGTGGTTAAAAAAATTTGATTATCTTTTTTTGTTTGTCCAACACAGATGCCGAGTTCATCAAGACTACAGACTTCTTGTGGAAAGTATTGCTGATAACTTTAATTTCCTGCATGCCATTATATATCTTGAAATTCCTACGGAAAAGATTCTCGCCCCCAAGTTACACCAAATTATCCTAAGTTACGAATACAATAATTTCACTTTGCAAAAGTAGTTCATACGGTGAATTGAGACGGTCTGCTTTGCATCGAAATGGTACGAAAAAGTATTTGCAAAGTAATTATCTTTGATTCCCGATTCGTGTCCTTTGCTCAGTATGAAATAGATAAACGCTCATTTTGTAAATCTCCTCACTATTTTTCTAACTATGCTGCAAATAATCAATAAATACAAACTTTACAACTTTAACATTAAAGCGCAACTGTTAACGAAGTTTTCGAATTTCCTGTGCTATCGATATTATACTGAGCATTTCAACTGGACCAACCCGATGAATCGAAATCAAGCTTGTTTCTTTCGGATTTTTAACTAAAGATAAATTATTCCATTAATCAATTAACGTGTAAAATTAATTGTTCATCGATAACGTATAAAAGTTAATTATCCTCTATTTATTCAGTTTAGGTTAAAATGCATTAAAATTTCGATAACTGTATAGGGACTCTTGAAATTTAGCTGTTCGATCATGTTATGTTACTGTTTTATTTATAAAATTAGCGCGTTTTTTCCCTTCCATGAAATGTGTTCGCATAACATACAGCATTTAATTACAGTTTCGCATAATATTTACTGTTTATATTCAATCGTACCATTTACAGTATTTTTTTATATTAAGTTTATAAATCTTAGACGCTTAACTAACTGAAAGCATATATAATGCCTTACTTGACATTTTTTTTTTTTTCATGTATCCAATAAATATATGAGAACTTTTTAATATTTGTTTTACATTTGAGTATAAGAATTATTTCCAAGTATAATGTTATTCATTGCAGTTTATTTTTTTTTGTGAATACACAACACTAATAAAAGGAAACTGATTTTTATATTCGTGCGTAAATTATAAGCATGTAGAGCTAGTTGTAATTGTTATTAGTTATAATGTTGAAATGTACTGTACCATAGATGACATAGTTATTTCTAGATAAATATTATTTGACTTGATGACATATTTGTAATTAATTTATGCGCAAATAAAATAATATATTCATTTGTCTGACTAATTCTTTATATCGTTATTTTTCTAACCGCTCGAGGTAAAGAAGCTTGGTATTTAAATAATAATAGTATACAACCCGAAATTGTTATAAAAGTTATTTATTCCAATTTATCTAATCTCAACACGTAATTTTTCAGTGGCATACTTTTTTATTAAATTGTGAATATTGTTCACTTCTCGCTTCGATAACGTTCGGTTCATGTGTCTATATACTATAGTGTAACAATGCGAGTTTCTTTTAGTTACAGGATGAACGTACACATCCTTCAACAAAATTTGTTCTACCCGGTCACCGCCAACATTTCGTACTAAATCGTAAAAATCGTTCTTTGAGTAGCTACCATCCACGGGTAACCAAAAGCTTACATCGTTCGTACACTGAGGAAAAACACTAACAGGCTGTAAAGAAATCATTTAGTTATTTACTTATTTTACGAACAATCTTGATTACGTTTTTAAAATTGAGATTCAGAAATAGGTTCGTGAAACAGTAAAACCATATAATAACTACAATTTGAAGAAGCATATTAATGTATATTATTTATAATTATTAGTATAACTTCTTTTATAGATGAATTTACCAATGATGACTTCAGAATAAAGTTGAAACATACAGACAATATACACGAATATATTTGTTCAGATTATCACTGTTATTAATTCTTAATATATTCCATTACCTTGTACTCTATTGTTTTGTTAGGATCATTGAACTCAAATTGGCTCAAGAAGCCGGAGTCTTTGCTCCAAAATAACCTGATATCAGGAATATTATATAAACACATAGCTAGTCTTTCTAAGCCCAATCCAAACGCCCATCCAATGCGTTCTGTTACACCTGAATTTGTTAAAATTTCTTGACGCATAATACCGCATCCCAATATTTCTAACCACTGATTGTTATGGTAGACTTCCAATTCCCATGATGGATATGTAAAAGGAAAATATTGTCCTATCCATCTAGTTTGTATATCTAAAATTAAAAGTTATAATTTTGTATTCAATTGAAGTTGTACTTGTTTATTAGAATTTTTCTATTTTATCCAATTACTCGGTCCAAAAAGTATCCGTGCCAATCCTGTCAAAGTATTTTTCAATTCATGTTCCATTATCTTGACAGATTCCAAAGTGTGGCAAGCTTGCTTCTCATTGCTTTCCACACCTCTGTGTTCAAACAGCTTTAAATCGTCAGAATTGCTTGTACGTTCAAATACCTCTTCTACTGTGCATAGTCTGACACCATCTGCTTGATGAAAAACAGGATAATGCTTGTTGTCTATTTCGTCTCTCCGATAAACATCACCGATCACAAGGAAATTGTTCAATCCCATAGAAATTAGTTCCGCCTGATGTGCACTTGTATGCGCACGTAACAAAGTATCTTGATTTATATAATAACAGTCATTTTTCTGCCTACTCGGATGATTGCTTGGCACAAGAAGAGAGTCAAAATTTTGAGCAACCGTCACTATAGGGGATATATTGTCGTATACACTGAAGATTGGATTCCCAATGCGGTTACTAAATTGCATGTAAAAATAATTAACGATACGTTGACGTACATGGGACAAAGGATGGAACGGCGTGACATGCAAGTTACTTCCTAATTTAGAAATAACATTTGTACTGATGTTCGTCCATTCGTCCGTTGGATACTTATGGTCGAACAATGTTATTTCGTTCCTCGGTCGAGCTTCGGAAACTGTCGATAAAGCTTTACACAGCGGTGATCGTACGCTATTATGCTTCAAAAGTTTAACCACGTTATACCTATAAAATTAGATTTTAAATAACATCGTAAAAGCAATTAATTATACTGTTACGGTACAACGCAACAAATAACCTAACCATCTTAGTATCATCGCGACGCAATAATTTTACGTATCTCGGAATATCGAGTGCTGTATATTTAAATATAATTAGTAGAATGAGATATATTTTATAGACATGTCATATTTCGTAATTTGTAATCAAAATATAAAGATTGTGTAACGACTGCTTTGTCTGTAGGCAGATATTGCAGGAAGTCGTCACAGTGTAAATAACGCGTAACGATTTAAGGAGGATTTACAATGCTGATAGCATTTACAAGACGATGCTATTTAAATGTAAATTATTTGGAATCAAAGCATTAACAATTAAGATATAAAATTAGCACAGATTTCGAGATCAAAATTTGATGAGGGGTCTTCTTTAACCGTGTCAAATACGAACACACCCGGTAGAAAATCTACAGTCTGCATTCACATTTAGTTTCTAGTGTATTCGAAACGATGGCTGATAGTCGAAATGTGATATTGAATCTTTACCGAAGTCTTATTCGAGAAAGTAAGAAATGGAGTGCTTACAATTATCGGTAAGTTTAATCTATTAAACAATGCAAAATTAATACTTTTATTGACCATGACTTTCGTCCATTAAACTGAAAATAATCAAACTCTATGTGCATCGATTGTAACCACATTTAATCTATTTATTGTAGGATGTACGCTTTGCGGAAAATACGACACGAATTTCAAGAAAATAAAGCACTTCAAGACCGTGAAAGGATCAACGAGCAGTACGAAAAAGGGCAGGAAATGCTCGAAGTTATTAAGAGACAAGTGACCATTGGAAATTTCTATGCCACCAAGCCACTAATTATCGAAAATATAAAAAAGAAATCGAATTACAATTAAAAATGCACACGGCGTGAGTGATTAGTGAATGTCTGTAAAGAGAACTACAATTCATGCGAGATATGACAAAATTATAGTTAGGTATAAGGTTAAGATAGTTAGAACTAAAGATCTCCAAAGTTCCCTAATAATTTCAAAGATTCTGTACAACTTCATAACGCGGAATAAAACGGAATATTTGTTAATAATGAATAATATGTATAGTGTTTCTAGGCTATTATTTATAAGTAAATGTATATGTTGTATGTGTTGCTAAAATAAAAAGATAGTTAGAACTAAAGATCTCCAAAGTTCCCTAATAATTTCAAAGATTCTGTACAACTTCATAACGCGGAATAAAACGGAATATTTGTTAATAATGAATAATATGTATAGTGTTTCTAGGCTATTATTTATAAGTAAATGTATATGTTGTATGTGTTGCTGAAATAAAGTATGTAATATATTTGCCATATCTATGGACCTTCATTTTTAAAGTGTAATTATACATATTTAATAAATGATAACTCAAGTATTTTCATGTATTGATAAACTACTTTACCAAAGACATTTTGCAATTGCATTGTTTCGCGAATGAAAATCGAGACCTAGTTAATGGTGTAAGGAGCATTAGTAACTCCCTAGTTACTCCCGCGAGTGGCGCCGATGCCAACCATTGAGAGAGGCCGGGATGCTATAGGGAATTTGTCCCTAGGTACTCCCTGGGCCTCGAGAGACAAGAGAGAATCGGGAGTTCTTCCCCGAGCAAGCTAAGGGACAGTCCAATAAAGCACACGTCCGCAAAACCACGTGTAATCATTCTGAGCAACCCTGTGTCCATATATGTAGGCCAGCGCCTACACTAGACACGAAAGTGAAACTATCTTCAGTAATAAAAGAAAATGATTCTAGATCTGTGTTTGGTAGTACTGATAGATCAGCTGTTTCCAATTTTTCACGATGACAGATGGAGCGTATTACGATAACAGTTTATGTACTTGATGGTGCTCCGAAGCGACTACGATGAATAGTATAGCGTTTTGAATTTCTGAACAAATAAATTATATTAGTCAAAATGGCAACGAGAAATTTGACGGAACCGTTCATTTTAATGCGTAATAATGCATTACAAAGCAAACACATATACGCTGAACAGGTATGACGGGTATAACCTTTATCTAATGGAAATTATGCGATGTCAGTCTCATACGAGAGGATTTAAAACCTTCATGGTATAACACACTCTTTTCAGAATCTGTCCGATCGAATGTCGTTAGTGGCTTCGGAGACTGGCAGCTCTGATAATGTAGAATTGAGGAACATCAATTTGGAGAGTAATGCACCACCTGTTTGGATAGACTCCTTGGAAGAAACACAATATATTTTAAGTAGATTACGCGTGAAGATAGACAGCTTAATAGAGTTACAAGCTAAACAGTTAACTAGGCCGACATTAGATGATACATCAAAGGTTCGTCTACAACTTTAACGCGATACTAGTTCTCTTGAAAATTAAAGAACCATCTTATAGATAACATCAGAGATTCATATAATCGTTCTGATTTATTTCGATTACTTAATTGTTAGAGAGCAAATAGTTAAAAACATGTCTACAGGAAGAAAGACAAATGGAGCAACTGACGCGAGAAATAGGACGCGCGTTTTCTAGCGGTTATAGTCAAGTGCAGACTATTAAAACTGCGACAAGGCATACTAATAAACCTATAGAACGTCAGTTAGCTACGAGCGCGGTAATGGCTCTTTCGACCGCTTTGCAAGAGCTGGGTATTCGATATAGATCAGCTCAGAATCACTACTTAACACGTACGATTTATACAATTTCTACGAATTCGAAACGTTCCAAGCAAATATTTAGGAACAATTTTTTACGATTTCAGAGATAAAATCGAGGGAAGAGAGGAGCAATCAATTTTTTACCGAAGATCAATCGATATTTTTAAATAACGCCGCGACCGATACGTGGCTGATGGAATCCAATGAAACGAATTCGGAGAGTTGGCACAACAACGAGCAACGACAAGACTCTGTACTTTTGCAATTAGAAGACACGGAAGATAGAATGAAATTAGCCGTGGAAAGGGAAGAACAAATTGGCAACATAGTTCAAAGTATAGCGGATCTACGGTATATATTCAAAGTAAGAATCTGGAACACTACCATTGGTATTAGCGGAAACTTTCTACTTACGATTGTATTAAAAAATTTTAAATAAGAAACTTTATCTGAACAGGATTTAGCAAATATGGTGCAGGATCAGGGCACTATCTTGGATAGAATCGATTATAACGTTGAACAAACACAAGTACAAGTACAGGAAGGCTATAAACAATTGAAAAAGGCAGACTCTTACCAAAGAGCCAATAAAAAATTATATTGTATAGTCGTTCTTGCCGGGGCTATTATTCTAGTTAGTTTTCTTTTCATCGTATTCAAAACATAAGACGCAATATTAATACGAATCGGGTAAATACATCCTAATATACAAACAGTTGTTATCCATCGATGTTTCTTGAAGGGAAACGTATTTACAACACACATTCAGCGCGGTAAATAATTATTTTTTGACGAGAATTCACAAGTATCGTAAATAAGTGAGATAAACGGGAGAATAGTTGCTGCACTATTAAACGTTATTGTCTCATCAATATGATGGACTCAAATACATTAATCATACATTAATGTTTTGTGATACAGTGAATGTTATTTTTAAAAGTAATACGGCATAACTCGGAAGTGTAACGAATTTCTCATGAAAGTATAATTTTTCAAAAGATGTGAATTCACCATAAGAAATCTCTGTCTGCAAGATTTTGAAAATTACGTTAAATGTTTTTTTATCTAGCTGACAATAGAAACTGTTCTGCTGTTGTTAATCAAAGTCATTCCAGTTAAGAATGAGACGAACGTGGGTATCGTTTCTTTCGTTATCGTACACGTCGTATTTAATTGTATTTTTAAGTTTAGATTGATTGTAACATATATTTATACTAGAAACCTAATTACGCGAATAGAACTTATACATGAGCTCTTATTCCCCGACGAATGGGAGAGGAAGAGAGATCTAACGTGTTCATATGTAAAACCAAATTTATGAAGTGAATACAAAGAATACCTGTGGATAAATTATATACAATTTTAGTCATTTCACTGTTTTAGAAAGCATTTGTAGTCAGGCTTAATACTTCTATGTAATGTTATTCTTTCTCTAATAAAAGAATTATATTTCAGCAAACGCACGATATAAACGTTATAATTTCGTTTAATACAAACGTAAATATCTTGGATGAACGACTGACAAGTGTCCCAACAAATGGCAAGATTAACATTTTGGTCTAAGCAGCGTGTAATTTCATTTCTATAATACTTAACGATACGATACGTGATAAATTTTGTTCGAACATTCGCTTTTTATCTTAAGATTGAACGATACGTACATTATAAACATTATCTACGTAATTTATTTAACCTCGTTCGCCTAACAAACACGTTACGTAAACAAATACTATCCTCACGAAGTATAGATGATATTTTTTTGTTTGCACATATTTATTTATATACAATTTGCACATTTATATACAAATACATCTATACATTTTATCAGCACGCGTGTGCGACGTATAAATCGTGTTCTTTTACGATCCTTACGCTACAAGTTACAAATCGAGCATCGATGGACAAAATCGAAAGATAAAAAGACCCTCTGGTAAAAGATCTGGTAACAATTTTAACGTGTTCGCGATGTAATTCGAACAAATGGAATGCAGTGAAATGCTAATTTTATTGTACCATTGCTAGAATTTTGTCCCTTTCGTTTTGAATTTAAGCCTGAAACTAGTACAGTTACGTGGAAATGTCGGGCAATCGTTTCCCCCAAAGCAACGCGAACATCTTCGTGTAAATGTAAAAAAAATGTAAAAAAAGGCTGTATACGATTGATGTTTGAACTACGACATACCTCGTGGTGCATAATCCGTTTTAGGGCGTTGCACGTTTCACCGCCATCGACAATTTATAAACGCGCAACAATCGTGACCGAAAAATTACGCTTATTTACATCGTACAGTTGGAAAGTGAGGCTCAAGTGGCGGAGGTGTTCAAAATATGGGCCAAGATCCCGAAGGCTCCGCCTAGCAGGTAACGCACAAAGTTATCACCGACCAAAGGGCCCAGGGCATACAGGCCGGTTCTCGGTGCTTTAGTCACCTCGTACGTAAAATCATCGACCTCGATCGGATTCGATTTACCGTCTATAGGTTTGTCTGGGAATTTACCGAGACCGATACCATCGGCTTCCACATAGGACAGGTCAGGCTTATACCCTGCGAATAAATATTTCTTTATAATCGTCGGAACCGTGGTTATTACTCTATGTACAGTAAAACCTCGATTTAACGGACAGAATTCTACATATGTCTCCTATGTTGATACATCTTCGGATCATGTGCCTTTTGGTTGGTTCTTTTATGTTTTATTCTAAGTTTCGTCGTCTCGAGACACTGAATGTAGGGGGGGGAATGAATGTAGAAAGGTTAACCATGCATCTAATGTAGCACCTCTCTGGCAAGGGAAGATAATATCTTGCCATTATCTTCTCTTATCGGTATACGTTAAAATAAACGTGGAACATGATGAATGATTCGTTTCTCTTTCGTTCTGCATTTTAATCTACTGAAAAATATTATTAAGCGCCAATTGACTCGAATGCTTTTACTGATTATCGATAAGCAGAATTTATCAGCTGTTTAAATAATAGAGATACTACAAATGGATTTACTCTACTGTCGTATTTATCGAAAAGATTCCACGAAAGAATAGCTATTTTTTAAGATATGACATTTTATATTTTCCTCGCGTAAAAAGACGTTAAATAAAATGAAACAAATAACAAAATTAATTTCGATATTTTGTTCATTTTTTTTGATACAGTAATTCAAATATCTATGTTTTGCCACTGTGGAACGTAGAGGTGTTGTGTACGACAATAAATTCGTCTTATTTTAAACTTCGTTCGGTGAATGGTTCTTGGAAGACTACGATGTGTTATTTGTGTCTCGTACACGTGCTATTTTTCTAAGTCGAGATTTTACTATAATCGTATATAATATTGATTACAGATAATGAATAAAATATTTGCAATGATTCTTGTCATGCGTTCGCCTAGTTTTATTTCCCACGATTACGTTTGGCATCTTGGATATTCCACGATACGTACCTATGAGTATAGCCACGACAGAGACGCGAAACGTCTTTAGCTGTCCATCCGGGGCTAAAAGCGTGACCATTCGCCTCTGGGACTCATCGACGTCCATGCTGTCGTCCCTGTTCTCGCCGAACCCGACGAGCGTATATCCTTTTAACGCTTTGTAGAGAGGGTAATTGGTACCCCCGTCGGCCATCATCTCGTAAACCTTATGGTACTCGGGATACATAGAACTGGGAAGCCCCTGCAACCTATCGTACTTGTTATGTATTCTTTCTGTATTCGATTTGCTCCATTCGGTCGACGAGTCCCGGAACGCGTGCAACACGGGTATGATGCCTCGAAAACGCGCCGCTATTATCGCGTCTGCTGCACTTAACCCAGAACCGATCACCAAGACGGGATCGACAGGTTGTTCTTCGTCTGTAATCAAACCGATCAATTTTTTAATCGATGTCAAATCGAATATATTAGTCTCTGGTCAACAGTTGCAATAATTTCAGTTACAGAGGGCGTTTTTGCAGACGAGCAAAGCCACGATCACAAGTTTGGTTTACAAATGAATCTGAATGTCGAAACGCTGTCACCACAATTGCGACAGAACGAAATCTGGCAGGAAATGTGGGAGAAACGTGTGTCTGCGTACCGTGATGCTGATCGACCAGACGATCTAATCTCGATTCCAGGTCGTTCAGGTCGTGCGTCACCCAATCTGGCCGTGAATCGTCTCCCGGTATTCCCAATCGGTTGGACAAATCGGTCGTTCCCGTGGCAAGAACGACTCGTTTGCATCGATATCTGAACAGCTTTCCGGCATTGTTCTCGAATCCCTCTACCATCCATCCGTAACGATTGTCAGCCTCATCGACGTTCGAGACACGGACTGGCCTAACCGAGGTGACTGTGGTCCCACTGCAAAATTATATTTAAGCTAAAAATACCGGCGTTGTTGATCGAATGCCAGTGGTCGACGCTTCTACGAACTAAGGATCTAACGAGAAAAAGATCTTTTGCAGAATTATAGAACGCATACTTCTAAAGATACGTGATACGTTTTATAAATACACAGTGACACAGAAGTTCGTTCACATAATTCTAATTAAGTACGAGTGTATTGCTTCCCAACGCGAACTTCGGATGTAAACATTACAGTTGTCTCGTTTGTTTACATATTATAAAACTCTCTGTTATGCTCGAGTAGCCTGTCGCTTGTCAGTTCCTTAATTGTTTTTCGACACGATATTTTTACATTGAACATTTTTCTTGAACAAGTGGAATTTTCTCGTAATTAGGCGGAGCGAGCAAACTACTCACCTTGCCCCGTACAGTTCGGTTTGTCGCGACGCTGGCGATGAGATACAGACGCAACAAACTGTAATACGAACCATTGAAAGTACTGTTCCAATCCTTTTCTTCGCACGTAATCTTTGTAATAGGCGGCCACTGTGCCCACGGAAATTCTACTGGGCGTTTTGCTTGCGTTCAGTTTCTCCTGAAACGGTCCATCATCCGTCGAACTCGCCAGCCGATGTTGCTCGGACTCTATCAGCTTCTCCCATTCCCGTATTTCCAAATCGGGAAACGACATCCACCGATTCAGACTGATGGTCAACACGTTCGGATCCATGGTCTAGATCGGTGATAATCGAACGTTCAGTACGCAAGAATTGCTTGGAATTGTAAAGCAGAGGTTGGACACGCAACTGGGGGCACTCGATCGAGATTCGACTACTTCTACAGTAATGATTCTGAAATTCAACAACAGCAGATATCTGGGGCTCGTTTTAAGAATCATTACTGCATTCCTAATACTCGATGTGTTTGTAAACAGTGTCGATGTATTTACATGATTCTTATTCTCCTCTTACGCGTTACTTCTGTTCTCCGACTGTACCCGATAGATTTCTCTTTACCTGCCAGGCACCGCCAGGTTGACCTTTCCCGAGCACCACGTGATCGATCACCTTGTGCTCGGGATGCTGTTCGAGGGACTTCCACGTAAGCAGAGACGGCAGATCGAGGCCGGCGTCCACGCAAGGATGCTGAAGTTGATCCATGAGAACAGCCAAAGGTCGACCGCCGATTCTGCCCTCCAACCCGGAAGAGAGGCATTCGAGTTTGCAACGCGTGCTGCGCGCCAATCCTCTCCCCTGGCTCTTTGTCTCGCATCGTTCCGGTCTGTTCTGTTGCTGTTGCCATCGGTTGCCCGTCCCGTTTCTCATTTTTTCGTCCGCGGTCGCGTTACAGCACTCCTCGTTCCCCGATCTCGTGCTGAAGTGCAACCTCGCCGTGAGCATCTCGTCGCCGGGATGCGGCTCGCCGGTGTAATACGGCCAATTTCCAGCGAGCAAGTAAGAAAGGCATATCCCACTGGGTCCATTTCCTAAACCAAACACACCATGTGCCAGTGAAGCTCGAATAAATCCCTCCCTCGTCGTATATTCATTCATTTATTCATTTATTAACGGGTATTAACACGCTGACTGCCAGACCAAACCCCACAAATTAAAAAAAAAAGAATTAAATTTAAGCATACCAAGAATTTCTCATGGAATTTATTTTCACAGGCTCGTTAACATTCGAGGGCCCTGCCTAGCTTTATTTTCTTTTACATCCAATCTTGGGAACTAATTTTTTTAACTCCTTGGCGAAAAATCGTGTTACCCATATGTGGGTGACGTGGCAGTCAATGTGTTAAACACTTCGGTACAAAGATGTAATATGCAAGGAACTAATATCGCTCAGCGAATGTAACAAAATAAATTAATTTACAATATGTTGCAAGGATAATCTTAGACTTTCTAATGATTGTTTTAGTGTGTAGAAAATTTGCATTACTGATCATTCTATTTACACAATTCTGAGATCCAAACGTAGTGCGGTATATCTCTTTGTTTTGCAAGGATCAAGATCTTGTTCCACCGATCGAGATACAATTTCGTAGACTAGTTCCGCTAAAAGATGACACGGAAGTTGTAAAATGCACACCGTGACCGAATTAATTTTTTCCAAAAATAAAAATAAAAGATTTTTTTTATAGCCCCGAACAACAAGTATGTAGAATTTAATCTCGATCGATGAAATGCAATCTTGGCCCTTTCCTCGTTGGTTTGCTTTAATTCTTCTGGAATGGAACTTTAGCGTAATGTAATTTTAATGTAATTGGTCGACGATGGGTTGTAATCGATCATCGAGCAAACGAACCATACCTATAACGACCACATCCTTATAGACGACGTCGTTACCGTCGTCGTTGTAACAATTTAGCATCGTCTCTCCGATTTCAAGGACTGTAACAAACGATTAAAAGCTTTCGATTAACCAAATTTGTATAAATTTGTTCGTGGAAGAAAGAGTACTGACCACGCCACGGAAATGCTTAACAATACCTCGATGATTAAAAGATAGATTAAGGAGGGCGGAATAAAGTGATTTGTATTCGACTGGATTTTTTGCTGATTTTTCGTCCCTCGATCTTGGGACTCAATAGCGTCTTCTGATAAAACAGTCGGAAAATTTGAGAATACATCAACTATTCCAACTATTTATACGGGCATGTTTCTCCGCTAAGAATGTCACTTGCCTTTTCTGTTTCATTTTACTTTATTAAAGAGGTGATTTCATAATAATTGCGGCAAACGTATACTCATGACTGGCAATCTTGTTTGCTGGCGAGTACCTGCAGGAAATTCCATCGTAGCAAAAGGGTTAATGCATCATGTTGCCGTTTGGCAACATTCCAGTATTCCCTAATGTAGCAAAAAAGTAACGAACATTACACGACGTACTTGAATGATTCATACTATCGGTGTATAAATCATCGACAGATAGCGATTATCACATAAATAAATAATCTTTTGTTCCGCTATCTTCGTGTGTCGTAATCTGAATGCCAGCATTATTCGTAACTATTGCAGCATTTTATCTTTCGAGCGGTGTTACGGTAAAATAACTTTAAAACTGTATTATTCAGATTTGGTGTTTTGAAAGAAAATAAAAGAAATGTTTCACGGTGCAGTTACGCGAGTAGTGCATAATGTTACCGTTGCATTATAGAAACAACGATCGTTGGGGACAGGCGTTAAATTGTATCGTTCGCCATTGATCGATATTCGCTCTAGAGAAAAAGAAGTTTTGTAAATAATCAACGCGGACGCGATTTGTGTAACGCGTGGGGCACAAATCGATGCTTCTTCGATGCTTGACTTCTGTTAAACGCAGGCTTGGAAAGATAATTGCTTCGTTAATGACAATTGCATTTTACTGTGTCATTGTTAGTCTTTGCACTCGTAGCGAAGGTGACCTTATCGTAAGGATCGAATCGGTTACCGTCGAGACGCCACGGTGCCGCCACGTTGCGCAACAAATCGCACCGACATAATGTTACTCGATACAGAGACTATCGTAGAAAAGCCGTGTCTCGTGTCGATCGGCAACTCATCGCGCGACTCGTCTAGTCGCGTGCGTACGCGAAATGAAAGAGCCGATTATCCGCGATAAGATGACGAGCCGCGTCCGTCGAGTCGTTTATGCGCAGTCATTTGAGAATTATCAATTGATCGGATTGTAACGTACAACCAAGGACGTGGAAAGGTACGGAGAAAAAATGCCTGACCCTCGACGCCATTTTACGAGATCAAATAAATACGTTCGACGATTTCATTTTTGAAACGTAAATCGACGCGAAGATATCCAAGGAATGGGAATCTGTTCCGCGATATTTTCATAAGAACTAAAATACATTTTCGAGGATTACACGCTTTTGCGTTTAATCGTCGCGATAGTAGTGCATGGAATAGTAGTTGAATATTCAATGTTCATTCGTAGTGATCGAGCGCGTAGAAAATATTTGGATATTAAATTATTCAAATGATCACCCTGCGTGTAAACCGCAGATCGGGAATTTGATATTTTCCGAATTTTCTAGCATGCGTCACGTAGACGAGAACGAGGAAGTAAATATACGAGCGGATGCGCGAAATTTGTAAACATTTGCTTGAAGTTTTTACCTTGCGGTGGACTATCGTGCAGATGGCCAATACCCAAACACTGAATCCGATAGAATTCACCGCTTGTCGAAGTAAATTGTCGACAGGATCGAGAATCGAAATAGCTCGTAAAGAAAAGGGTACTCGCGCTAGAACGGTCGGTGCCGTACTGAGGCGCGAGCGAAACGCGACTTCCCTTTTCCGCGGGAACGTTCCTATCGAGGAAGGTCACAGTACATCGTGTCACCGACACACGACTCACACAACCTCATCAACCGTTCTTTACCCATTCATCCCCATCAAATATTCCATCTCTACATACGAATAATTGGTAAAATCGCGAGGCACACGATTGCAAAAAAGGACCGATATTTCGTTTCATTGTACATAATATGCACGACGCGATTAAATGGCCTCTGTACCCTGCAATTATATTTATCCCAATGTTGCCGGTTATTTCTATCGAAAGGCAGAAGAAAAACAATACTCGAACGGTGCGCATTGCTTATTTTTAACGACGGAAAAAATGTCAAATATTATGATATACGATTTAGGTTTGATTAGGAACGATTTACGTTTTCGTAGCTCCTTATCGTAACTTCGGGAACAATGTTTAGCAGCTGTGCATGACCTACGGCAATAGCACGTGAAATACCGTTTCGTTTACCTCGTATAGGGACGCGTGCATTATTCGTATTCGTATTTCTACTCGTACAGCCATTTAGGTTATAATCGATCGTACGGTGTGTGTAAAAAATTAATGAGAGTAATTTTGTGTCCCCGAATCGAAACGAAACCTGGCTGAAACCCCGCGAGTCAAATCACAAACGGTTTTTATTCTTTTTATGTAATCCCCTATCCGCTAAAAAACCGGTTATACCTTTCACCATTCAGTTCCTCGGCAAACGCAAACGGAACATCTATCGATTCCTTTTTAATTTCGGCTTCGTGGAAAATTTGCATGAAATGTACACTTTGAAAATTTCTACTCGGTAACGTGGACGATTTTCACGGGATTTCGATCATAAAAGTATTGGCACACGCAAGAAGCAATTTTATTTAAAAAATAGAATCCTTGGACCATCGCTTACAGTTACGAAAAAATTAAAAAGAACGATTCCAAATATCACTTAACGTTACAAAGTTGTTGGCGCACCTAACGGTTTAAAAAATGATCCAAAACACGGGTCGAAAATTATTCATGAATAACTGCTATGCAACTATAAAACTTATAAATACACGACCTCTGTCATCCGATCTAAATCCCATTGAGAAGGTACGCGACAGATTAGATAAAAAAATACGAAATCATTCAACTAGTAACGTGAAATTGCACAGTACATTAAAAGAGAAATGATGTAATATAGAAGATTAGTTTTCAAAACTTGTAGAATGCCAAAATATTAACATTGTAAACTTTATTAATTTTTGTAACGTGTACCAATAATTCTGTGACTTCAAAAGAAGCATGTATTTTTGTTTCTTCATAGCATTCTTCGTGGTCTAAATGTTATACTTTTTAAATAGATAGTGTAAAGAATCTTTCGTTATTTCTTTTAGTTCTCACACTGTTTTCACTTTCTGCGTGTTGTCAATAATTTTATGACTCACTGTAAGCGCGCGTGAAATATTAATGCTCGCGTGGATTAAAATGCATCGTCTGGCGAATGTACAAAAAAATACTCTCGATCGTAAACGAGATAAATAAACATTGTTTGCTTATTTTCGTTCACGCTGCCCGCGTACGAATGTATATTCTGTTTGTTTTAGACAGTAATTTTCCATTGATCGATCGTTGCTCGGTCCTTCTTGATAAAAGGACAAGCTTTGGTAGCCACGCGGACGGAATCGGCGACTGACAACACATAAATCGCATATAAGCACGTATCTGCAAGTTAAAGAAAATGGTAAGCATTTTTTATTCAATGTCGCGAGTCCGTTCCATACCCGTACGGTTAGAAAAGGAAATCTGCTACAAAATAAAGAAACACATACATACATGTGTACGCGGTACCCACTTACCCTACACAATCGTCAACTGCTATCAAACATGTTTATCCAACGATATCGTAACGCGGAAGTATGAAGATACTATGGAAAATTTCAAAACATGTAACAGCAGCGAGGAAAAAACAACCAATCATCGTGCGTGAAATCTTAGGTGATTTTTGATCAAGTTTTGCAGGGAACTTGATACATACGCATGGATGCGTATAAAGCATGTGCGATGTTTCTGGAATTGTAATGACTGGACAAATTTTGACGGCTCGATAAGTATTACGTAATTCAGGTCAAACGTCATTTTGGAAACGCGATAGTATCTGCTAAAAATAGTGCACGCACGTAGCATGTGTCGAGTAATATATATATATATATGCGTTCATCGAACCAGATCACATTTACACAAGACGAAATAAAGGTATCGTTATTCTCAGCAATCGTGGCGATACATTTCTTTCGCGAGTTTAACCCGAAAAAATTTAAGAACTTAAAGTAAACCCGAATGAAATTAGATGTGAAACAACTGTTATTAAAAACAAATAAAAATTTCTGCCAGAAGAAAATGTTATTGAAATGATACAGATCCCCGTTTACCTGAGCTTTCGTCATGCGATCACGGCATCTCATCTAATTTGGCTCGTAAACTTATATCCAATGCATCGTGTAGAAATTTTGTTGAACGTCGTTTAACACACATCCACGATTATCAGCTATTTTCTGTCGATCGGTACCACTCTCGAGAATCATTTTCGGATTATTTCCATTTAGTCGACGCGAAAATTTCTGTTTAAAATCATACCGGTGTTACACCACAAAGTTGCTGTTTCTTCGTCTTTAATTAACACTTTCGGCCAACTTATGAAATTACTTCTAAGTTGATCGATCTCCTTCGCAAACCAAATCGCGACAAACAACGTAAATTTACGTCAAAATCAGATGTTTGGACTTTCTCTACCGACACACCTCGCAATGCATTGATTTTGTTTTATACAAGGTTAGGTTTTGTTGAAAGCATATAGTCTATCGCTGTACTATTACGTGCGTGGCGACACCTTCACGATCAGCTGCAATATCAAGGGATTATCAATTTAAATTTTTGGACACGCGAGAAATTGAAACATTTTAGCACTTCAGATAGGATTTATTAAATATTACCTTTCATTCTTTACGATAGTTTTTAATAATGCCAGAATCGTCACAGTCGACAAAAATTACATAGCTCACATGACGACGCAAATAAGGGATCAAATACATCGTATGTGATGTGGGCTTTTGTTTCAAGCGAAATGATTTCTTAAAATTTGCAAACTACAGTATATTTTATATAAATGCATTGCATAAATACATATTTTCAGGAGCTCTTACTTTCGTACGCGAAATCACTAGATAGGTGAAGGCTAAAAAAATGTATAAATATCAAATGAACTATTAAATATAGTTTACATCACACGAAGTACAGCATAGACTATGCATCTCATGAAAATGGTGTCACACAAACTGAAATACCGACCTGGTAAAAAACTAGAGGTTTGTCATACCGACCTGAAAATTCGAACGTCTCAAAAATGGCGGTCAATTGAGAAACTATTCACTCAATTAGTATTGATGGGCAGCCAAAAAAGCGTCAAACAAATTTGTTGAAAATAAAAAATGAATTTTTAAGAAAAATCTACAGGGGATAGGTGTCTAAATTTTTCGGCGAAAAAAAAAATTTCAAATCGTTCTGGAAAAATTATTTTCAGTTGCAGGGGTCAATTACAGTCATTTCTTGTCATTACACGTACCCCCGAAATCCTAACCATTTTCGAGAAAAAAATTCGAGTAGGTGGAGACATTTTTCGACAAAATTAAAAAGTTTCAAATCGTTCTGGAAAAATTATTTTCAGTTGCAAGGGTCAATTACAGTCATTTTTTGTCATTACACGTACCCCCGAAATCCTAACCATTTTCGAGAAAAAAATTCGAGTAGGTGGAGATATTTTTCGACAAAATTAAAAAATTTCAAATCGTTCTGGAAAAATTATTTTCAGTTGCAAGGGTCAATTACAGTCATTTCTTGTCATTACACGTACCCCCGAAATCCTAACCATTTTCGAGAAAAAAATTCGAGTAGGTGGAGACATTTTTCGACAAAATTAAAAAATTTCAAATCGTTCTGGAAAAATTATTTTCAGTTGCAAGGGTCAATTACAGTCATTTCTTGTCATTACACGTACCCCCGAAATCCTAACCATTTTCGAGAAAAAAATTCGTGTAGGTGGAGACATTTTTCGACAAAATTAAAAAGTTTCAAATCGTTCTGGAAAAATTATTTTCAGTTGCAAGGGTCAATTACAGTCATTTCTTGTCATTACACGTACCCCCGAAATCCTAACCATTTTCGAGAAAAAAATTCGAGTAGGTGGAGACATTTTTCGACAAAATTAAAAAATTTCAAATCGTTCTGGAAAAATTATTTTCAGTTGCAAGGGTCAATTACAGTCATTTCTTGTCATTACACGTACCCCCGAAATCCTAACCATTTTCGAGAAAAAAATTCGAGTAGGTGGAGACATTTTTCGACAAAATTAAAAAGTTTCAAATCGTTCTGGAAAAATTATTTTCAGTTGCAAGGGTCAATTACAGTCATTTCTTGTCATTACACGTACCCCCGAAATCCTAACCATTTTCGAGAAAAAAATTCGAGTAGGTGGAGACATTTTTCGACAAAATTAAAAAGTTTCAAATCGTTCTGGAAAAATTATTTTCAGTTGCAAGGGTCAATTACAGTCATTTCTTGTCATTACACGTACCCCCGAAATCCTAACCATTTTCGAGAAAAAAATTCGTGTAGGTGGAGACATTTTTCGACAAAATTAAAAAGTTTCAAATCGTTTAGAAAAAATTATTTTTGATTGCGAAGGTCAATTAAGATCATTTTTGGTGAATAGACATACTCCCGAATTCCTACGCATTTACGAGAAAAAAATTCTTTTATTGATCGCTTTGGATCTAACGAAGAAGCTACATTTCTATCAAACCATACGCGGAAGATCGCAGCCATTAGCTCATACTATTTGCTATGTAATTAATAATTGTACTATATAGTTATGAGTAATGCTTATTAATTACATACTAAATAATAATGACCCAGGTCTCACCACGTGGAGGTTGCTGCGAATGGAGACCCGCCCTAACCGAATCCTAACCACCCACCATTTATAAAGAACTATTATGAGAAACGATTGTTCGAAAAACAGACAAGAGAGGAATTTTCAGAAGAATTTGCCTGTGAAGGGCCACCAAAAAGCCATGAAAGTCTATCGATAATGGAATTTATCGTTCCAACTTAAATGAGTTCGTCGAAATCAGGAAAAAAGCGACTGATGTATTTTGCAAGTAAGTACAGCGTTGTTGTGTACCTCGTATTAACCATGATAATGCACAGCATTCAAGTGTTTATTAGTCTTTCGTACACTACATTTTGAATTTAGAATATTAAACCTGTTACATAAAACCTGTTTGTACATAAAATATCACATTGTTTATTTATACTCGGTTAAATTGATGTTTAATTTTACTGTTTATGATACAAAGTTGAAAGGCTTTTAAAAAGTAGTAATTATGGAAGGTGCTCAATCGTTGTATCTTAACCTCTTCAGCGAGGATAAAGTTCATGCTTTGAAGGAAGTAAGTGTAATAGGAAAATAATTTTATTGTCCACGGTATGCTCTTAATTCTTTTGCTACAAAATAAGTTTGTACAATTTAGTTACTACATGCTTGTGTGGATGAAATATGTGGTCGGCCAGGCCCATCCTATCACAAATTTGCAAATAGTGTAGACTGGAACAGAGAAGAGTATGAAGAAACATACAAATTGATATCAATACTATTAAGAAATCCTGCTTGTTTATATCTAGTAGATGAAAAGGTATAATAACTATTTGTTTAAAGTCCATAGTGTTTTTTATTTAAAAAGCTAATGTTGTTTTTATAGATGCCTCAGGAATATCATGAATTGCCAGAACCCATTCAGCAAAATATACTAACATGTTTGAAAGCACGAAGAGAACAACTAACAAATGCTTTGTTGAAAGAGTACTCCAAAGAAAAGCATGAAACATTAACAGACTTTGACTGGAGATTAAAGGTAAATTATTAAAACCATGAAAGGTATTCGAGTACTAATCAATGTGATGTCAACAGCTTGTAATGGGTTCAAGCAAGTTGGCTACTTTAAGAGAATCTCTTCTTCAACTGGATCTTATGGTTGAAAACAAGGAAACAAAACGTATTCTGGGTTTGGAACTGAACAAGGATGAACTAGAAACTTTCATTAATGTCATGGAAACTATCGTGACGCAATAATTTCGTCGAGACCAGTAAAATAATTGATGATTAATTTCAGCGTTATCGTTAATGTACGTTGTGCGTATAATTGTAACGAGTGGCTTGAAAAATGAAATAAAGACACATGATTTTTACACTTGTTTCACAGTTTATTATAGGTTATAGATAAATGTAGAATAGTTTAATTACTATTATAACTGCTCATCGAAGACACCGAAAACTGTTGTTCTGCGTCCAAGGCGTATTCGATTAAAAAATCTCGTTTACAATTTTGTAATTATCTGGCAGACAAAATAAATAAACGAGGCTTACGTCGACGACGCCCCAGAGTTTACGATCGATAGTTTGCGAGTGCACAGATATTATCTCAGTCAGGTTTAAGGATATTTTTTTTTAAATAAAAAAGTTCGCTCTCGTCGCCAAAACTTGTCTCGAAAAAACGGTGAATTTCGTTGTAAAGATCATTACGGATAATATATTTAATGAAAGGTTTACTATACAACTTTTAATTTTACTTCTTTCTCCTTACTCGTTAATAATAATAAATCGTTTAAAAATCAATGCCGGTCACGGGCACAGTGAACGCTCGGCTCCATTCAAACACTTACAGGTATTCTGAGATTTTGGAGCATTTACATATAATGCGCGTTTTCGTTTAACTTTACGATCTACGCTACGGTCTTGATAAAAAAAGCTTTCGTAGATAATTATTTTACTTCTGGCGATCCGTTTCGAGTGGTAAATTGTGCATGTCTCGTAATTGTAATTAGGCGATATTTTATAATGATTATTATAAAATTACGAATAGACTTCCTCGTAAGTATTTCCTCGTATGGAGAAGTAGCATTTCGAACGAACGCCGAATTTACACAAATGCTTTCTCTATGTCTAGATTATATAACTCACTTACACTGTTGTCTCGACTTACTGTATGTTTGTATCTCCTTGTTTACTTCGTGTGTTGCATTATGATACGTTTGTACGTATATTTGCGTGTAATTGTCCCCTTTTTACTTGTGTGTAATTAGAGTGTGTCGTATGCTCGCGCGTACCAAAGTCATACACCTAGAAAGTGTGTGCAGTTTCCCGTTACAACATAAAACTTCTCGATTGTACAATTACAAAGAAAAACAAGGACCGCGAAAGAAATACGAGCAAACTAAATCGACTGTTCTTAAAATCGCGATTCGAGTATTTCATTACTCGTGCGTTTCGACGGATCCTCTCTGCTATCTACTTTCTCTCGTCTTCTCTCTATTCGTGTCATATTCCGGCGAACATAACCTTCTTATTTATCGTTTCGGTGTTCATACTCACATTCTCCGGTGAACATAACCTTCCTATTTATCGACTCGGTGTTCATACTGTCAGTCCTCTATTCCATCTCTCACTCTCTCATGCATTCGAACGACGCACACGCACACCTTGTCCTTTTCATCAGTCTCTGATCTTTTCTTTTCCCTTGCACTCTTTCGATGTAGCAATATTGTAGTAGTTAAGAGTGGTCGCGCAATTCGTCGAATATATATGTATATATATATATACATATATATTCCCTGGAATACGCAACAAAGGATGTTCGTTTTTATCGTTTTTTTTTTTATTCAAATATTCGCCCTTTGTTGTTTGTCCGCCGTTCGATGGTTACGTAATTCGACTTAATAACAATGACAGTTTCTCAATTTCTGTACAGCAGGGCCGACCAGCGTTATTTAAAACCCACGAGTTGGGTGTGACTCGACGTTGAAAATTTGTCGTTTATGAATTACTCGTGTTGAAAAAGATCGGTGGAAACCACACTATTTGCGAAAGACGATACATTTTCGGAATCAACCATTTTATTTGGCCTGACCTCGTAACCCCATTTTCTCTCCGATGAATAAAGATCGGTAGCCTTTCGAGAACATTCTTTTGTCCGCCCTGCCGTCAAACGCCGTCTAATAATTATTAATAGGCCTACTATAAAGTCTATAATGCTCTCGCGATGTCGCGGTAACATCGTAGTCGTTCCACTTCTTTATTTTCTGTTTTTTCATTCTTTATCATTTTTTTTACGTTTTTTTTTTATTATTATTATTTTTTTTGTTGTTGCTCGTAACGAAAGAACGTTATTTTCTGTTTAGTTTGCAGGAATGGTCCAAATATACATATCTATATAATATACTTTTTTGGTTTTAACGAGAGAAAAGAACTTTCTTCTTCCCAAAATACAATTCGGTTAGTGGTGTTTATTCGTTTATGTTGTTTTGGTAATGTGCGTCTGCGATGATTGCCTGCAAAGAAAAAGTAAATCAATCATTACGTTCAATACAGAGTGAAAACAAAAAAAAATCATTTCCAATACACTTACGTTTGTATTACACTCGATGGTTGCCGCCGCGACAGCCTTATCGCTTATGTCAATTTCTTCGATAGCCTTTAACAAAAATGATTAGATGACATCGTTAATAACGATGCTACGGACTTGTTACGCAAATTACTGTTCGCTATTTACGGAAACTAGGAATCAATTAAACGATAATGTTAATCAGATGGCCCCTCGCACTCAATTCTTCGTTGGGCATTAAACCGTGTTAATGACCTCAGAATTGCTGGCGCTAAACAGCACGAACAATCTTTTTGGCGATCATCATTTGTGTTATTTTTAATCGTACCATGATATATTGCTGTTTAAACGTTTAAATTCTCTGGGATTATTATTGCGTTTGTTATTATTAAACTGCGGATGTTTATGCATTTATGGGAAATTTTAATCCTCAACAAAACTACAGAATGCATTTAATATGCAAAAATATAAGAAATACTTAAAGCAAGATACGAATTATTATATTTAGGGGTTGAGACAGCCCTCTGCGAAGCTTCCGTTTCATTAATTCTATTAATAAAAATGTGAATTTGCATAAAGATCCGCAGCCTAGTTATTATCAATCAGTCTAGATATATTGGCGACCGAATTATTATCTTTTAATTAAAACGAGAGAGTTTATTCCGTAAGAATTAGCCCAGTTTCTGTTGCGTTATCGATAACGGACCGCGCGCGTGCAGAGTAGATCGATCGATCGTACAGAATGCAAAGACGTACCTTGGCTACCGAGGAAACGTCTTCGGTGATGGCTGGCGCAGATGGCACAGTTGGCGGAGAGGCGGGGACCTCGGTCAGGACGGCTGGAGGTGTAATTTTGGTGGTTTCCTCTGAACTTTCTGTCGTGCTATCGTGTACCAGATTATTTTCTACCGGGGCTTCGGGTTCCGGAGTGGTCTGCAAAGGCAAACTGTTCGTTAGAGGGTTCGATCGCGAGTAGAAACGTCCGCCGCATCAAGTCCAAATCCCAGCATGCTACGAGGACAAAAGACGTGAAGGTCGATTCCGTCGAACCACTCGAAACGTAGATTAGGAAGAATTAAGCGAACGTTAAGCCACGTGGTTACGTTACAAGCTATCAGTGGGGTTGGAATCGAACGGGATTGCATCGAATGGCCGGACAGAATCGCACCGCCTCATGCTTCGGGACAGCGCAAAGAATCGGAAACCCCACCCTCTGTTGGTAAAAAATACCCTCGGATAAAAAAATTCTGCATGCGCAATACAAAATGCTTACGACACAACAGATGCAATTACGGAAAGAGCTCGATAGTATCGATGCCTAAACATAAGTTCTATATGCCATAGATTAATAAAAGAAAAAAATAATAAGTTCTAAACTTCAGCTCTATTTATATACGTAACGAGAATTAGTATTTAAAGTGTTTTTACGTCTATCAATGAGATTCACGCTACGAAATTTGTCTAAGTCGAGCGGCTATCGAGTTATATTAGTGACAGCGTTCCGAGGAAATAAGTAATTTTCTGCAGAAACTGATCTTTCGACTAGTGCATAGGCAATGTTTCGCCCGTTATCTCTATGTGTCGAGCTACGATATGCTCTACTTTTCAGCGCCTCGATTCGAATAACAAGTCGTGTTAATATTGTCAAGAAAACCAAGAGGCAAACAACACAGGTGATGGTAGTAATGATGGTATCTGGTAGTGGCGGTGGTCGGTGATGGAAGTGTCGGGAGATATCAGCGACAGAGTAGACGTTGTTAATCACGTTCAACATATCGAAGGATGCATACGACGAGAGACCTTTACGACGTTGGATCCATACGGGGACGATCGGGATGATATCACGTTTAGCGAGAGGACAGGTGGAGGTGGAGTAGGAGATAGTCTTTTTTTTCTTTGTTATTCGTTTTTTTTTTTTTTTTTGTTTCTCTCGGTAGATGAAATTCGTGCAAAATGCGCACAGACGTCGATGTCAGTCTCAGTCTCATTCGATTATCCTTCGTCGGAGAGGAAGTCGTTAAGCGAAGGTTGTCGATGTCGGATAGAAGACGATTTATCTATCTAGGCTTCGAAGCGAAGAGGCCAAACGCAGGAAGAATTTCGGACGACAGAGCACTGGGACAGATGTATGTACATGTGTGTGTGTATCGCAGTGGCCCCCGGCTACAAGTGGTAACAATTTTTTTGCGATATTTTTTGTCAGGATACCCCCCCCCCTCCAGAATCATGTCGTCAGCCGAGACAAAATATCCTTTGCACAGATTATTTTGTCCCGTCCAACGGCATGATTTTGAAAGGCGTTGCAAAAAAAAATTCGATGATCGAAAAATAAGGACCACTGACTGGCATGTATGCGTGTCTGGTGTGTCGGGGACAAGGGGGGAAACGGGAAAGTCGATGATATATTCAGACTATATCACAGAGATGGGTTGTGCGGACCGTACGGCGAGATACTTGGAACGAGGCGCCACGAAAAGTTTATTGGCTGCCTGAATTCATGCCAGGAGGTTGTGTTACATGTTAGTCACCTGATGGGTCTCCTGGACAGTGGTTGACGACGTGGTGTTGTTCGACAACTGACACGAGACCGAGCTCTCTTCCTGGTGCACAGTCTCCGCCAGAGACTCTGCTAACCTCTCCTTTAATTCAATGTCGGACTCATTGTACGAATCGAGGCTTATGGACACCGACTCCATCTTGAAGTCTCGATTGCTCTGGTCGTCGAAAAACTGTGTTCGCGAGGAGTCTTTCGTGGATGTTGTCAGACTGGACATGATACTGTCGTTGGACTGGGAAACGGGACTTCTGGGCGGCGTGGGAAGCACATCCGTCGAGTTTCTCGTTCTGGGTGCGTTTTCGTCGGGAACTGGATAGTCGTTCATTTCGGATACGTTGTTACTCGTGACTAACGGGCAGGGACACTCTTCCGGTGGTAACGGATGTTCGTGAGAATTTACGTATTGGGTGGTGTGTCGAGGTGCTGGAGGAACAAGATCGTCCGACGAAACGGAAACGCATTCGAGCCTGGACGGCGAAGATCGGGGTTCGGATCGAACTGCGAGGCGCTCGTCCTCGTCCGACAATATTTGCGAAGATGTGGTGTCTGTGGGGGGAACGGGTGGTACGTCCGTAACGAGGCATTCGGTGCATTGCGACGACCTATCGAGTTCTTGCGTTCTATTTACTGGTACATCGTCTACGTCGATAAGGGGGGAGTGAACGTTCGGATCGTTTTCGACGTTCGCGTTCTCGGAATCCAACTTTTCCGGAGAATTAGCTCTACAGGATTCTGATACAGGCGGGGGAGGCGGTATCGACTCTTCGTCTTCGGCAATCTCAATTACTTCCGTTACTTTCTCGGCAGTATTCTCGATTGTGACAAGAGATACGTTTATTGGCTGAGCGGAATCGTCGGTCATCGGTACGCTCGGAGGGGAAGGGGAATCCTCCGGGTCGTCGAACACGATCATCACTTTTATAGGTGTGGTGATGGTATCGTCAGATTCCGTCTTCGTCTCGAAATTGATCGCCTCGACCGATTCCGATTCCGATTCCACGTTTCGAACAGTCGCATCGGTGCCCGTTACTTCCTCCTCGATAATTTCTTCGTCTTCCGGAATAACGACTGCTGGCTTAGCCTCCACCACGATTTCTTCCTCGGAGAGCGGAAGTGGCCCCTCCTCGGAATCTATGAACGAATCGGACACCGGAACCAACGGTTCGCGAGCGATTTCGTCCACCGGTTTCGTTTCCTCCATTACGACTTGAGTCGGCTCAACGACCTCCGCCTCGACGCGGTTTCTGCACTCGGCGGGTGCCTCGGTTTGGAGCTCCGTCGTTGGTTCTTGGACCATTGACACGACACAGACCGATTCCTCTTGACGTTGGACAGTTTCCATCTCCTTCGAGATTACTGGCTCGGGAACGTGTTTGATATTTTCGTCGGCCTCGATTTCGCGAGGCTTTTCGAAATCCACGGTTTTCGATACAGCGTCCGCGGTCTCGGCTACATCCTCGTTATCGCGCGAATAATTTAGCTGTTTAGACGGGGAGTCGAGACGGTTCGCGTCAGTCTCCGTGGCTGGCAGGTTCTCGAGTTCCGATTTGCCGGTGTCTTTGGTGGCGTCGAGCGACTCCGTATTCGCGTTAACCGTGACATTCGGACAAGTGGTGTCTGTAGTATCTACCACCGGCAGAGCCTGTAATTTTGGGAGGATGGAAGGAGTCGATTCCGTTTGGGGTTTGTCTGTGGAGGAACCGGGTGGTCTCTGGGGGAACACATCAAGAGATTCAGCGGGCGGCGTTGAGGGTATGTCGTTACGCTCTGAGCAAGGGTAAGATAAGGCGGCGGCGAGTGGCGGTTGTGCAACGAAATCCTTGTCGGCAGCAGCAGCCTCGGCAGGCAGCTTGAGGGCCTCCGCAAGAGCGGTCGCGGTCGCCGCAGCCTGCTGAGCCTGCTGCAACGGCGACGGATCAATGGGTGTTGGCGGTGGACTGGACGGAGGCAAGGAAGGAATATCCTCACTGGTTTTCCTCTCAATGATAGACGGCGTAGCGACTGTCTGGATTTGGAAAACAGAGCCTTCTACCGGGTCCGGTACGAACTGACCACCGGCTGGACTGACCTCGACTACTTTTTTCTCGGCCTCGACTTTTTCAACCTCCTCTTTCTTTTCCTCGAGAGGGACGGGAGTGGGGGCAGAGGGAGTGGGTTCCTCTTGCTTTTCATCGGCAGGGCTAGTGGCGTCCGATGTCGGGCCATCTTCCTTCGTCTCGGTGGTGGGTGTAGGCGTTGGTGTTGGCGTTGGTGTTGATGCTGGCGTTGCCGCTGCCGCCTCTGCCGAAACAGGGACGGCTTCGTTTTCCGCGGACGGACTACTTACTACCGACTTCTCCTCGACTGGACTACCTGCCGTTGCCGATCCTGTCTCAGCTTCCTCTCCACCCTGAAACATCGTCGTAACGTCTCTTTTATATCGCGTATCAAGATCATCCCCTCGACTACTCGATCTTTCGATTCAAGGTGCTAACACTCTACCGTGAACCTTTGAAAGAATTCAAAATTTGGAGAACGCGCGACTCGTCGGAGCGTCAGATTTAGATGGTTCTTGTCCACCGCGAAGGGTGACCAACTTAACAGTTGTTGCCTGTTCACGCCGAGCGATTCGAATAGAAAAGAGGGTGAAGAACCTAGCGACGCATAGACAAGAGGTGTTCGCGGGAGGTTATACATTCCCCCCACCATCGAGTACACGAGAGCGCGTAAGGGTAGACAAAGAAAGAACACCATAGGGTGCCAGCCGGGCAACGTCACCCCTTCAGGGGTGGCCGATCGTGTCACTGTGTCAGCAACAAGTACCTTGCTCGAAAGATCCGATCGATTTTTATTTTACGATCGACAACGTGACCAGTTCACCGTTAACCGTTTGATTTTTAACGCAGAACGGAAAGCTCGTGTATCTTAACGCAAACACGATCGATCGTTGAAACCGAAGAGGGAAATAGAAACCGTACGTGCAAAATACGGTACGTGGTTTATCGTTCCCAGACCTCCGCGTATCGATCGACTGGTTTAAGCGAAACCCTTCCGTGTCGTTCCTCCCATGGATTTTCCTAAGGGGGAAGCCTCCCGCTTAAAGAATTACAACAGCCCCCGTGCGATACAAGGGCTTTCAAATACTCGAACTTTATTTTCTCGCGGTGTTTCGTCAACACTGACTATCGAAGAGTGAAGCGACACAGTTAACCTAACTGAATTTTTAAAGTTAACTATAATCAACGTAAGGGTTAATCGTTCCATTATTCGAGCTTCCGTCCAGACGAAAGAAAAAACGAGATTATTCTCGGCTTCCTCTTTCGATGAAATCGATCCTGAGCTCCACGTGGCCCCCGGGGCACATGTGCGTCGTTTGTTGTCGATCAATTCTCCGCGAGTAGGTTAAAACACGAAACGTTTTTTAAGGAACTCGATTCCTATTTTCGTTCGTTACTGCCAGAGATGACGTTCTTCTTCAACGTCGTCGCGTTCAAACCGTACCGTATCTCGCGCGACTATTTTTGCGCGTCGCGCGCCAGTGTCGGTTTACCTTTGTTTCCGCTGCAACCGCTCGAACGCAACGAACAATAGACAATTACACGAAAACAATATGCCCACCGAAGAGACATCGTCAGGATAAATAAAATATAATCTGTTCCGACGAAGCGAGTTAGCAGACCATTTCTTTCGAAACCGATAATAACTCGACGCGCAAAATAGAATTAACCCTCCCACCCTCCCTCTGTGTCGAATGTTTATGGTTGTAATCGTGTCACGCGCACAGTTGATCGTTAACAGGGAAAAGCAAACATCAGGATACGTTTAGAAAGGCACGCAAAAGCATAATACTGCGTCGTACCGAAGGGAACTTGGAGTCTTCGGCTGTTGGTGTTGCAGTAACGCCCAAAAGCGGCACGTAGGACAATACTTTTCGAGCTCCTCGAGCGAAGACGCCCACCACTCGGTATACACCGTTGCTCATGCTTCGCCCTGCCTTCGTCACAGACTCCATAGCTCCGCAGAGATTTCTCGATCGCCGTTTAAGAAACGCTCCTCGATCAAAATATCAACCTGCGTGGACATACAGGATGGTTCACGTAACTTGCTGGGCTCGACTAACTTTTAAAGTGTTCGATGCACGAAAAAGGTCAACCGTGTCTTTTACAACGGAACGCTATACTTTAAATCAATGATGGAACTTTTGTGTAAAAAGTTTTTTCGTGCATGCACGGGTCAGAAGGTACTCAAGGTTGTGCAAGTTGCATGGACCACAGCTGTATATACACAGATCAGAAATCGAATCCAGACGACCAAAGATCGCTACGAAGGAACTGCGTTCTCGTGCGAATTTCAAGGGATCTTATTTTAGACTCTGTAACCGGCGAGCATGTCGGCCTATACAGGGTGTCCTAAAACGTGCGACGCAAAGTCGAAAAAATAAATAAAAAACGTAGATTGAACGTTCTTTTTTTTTGTACAGAGACCTTGGAGCAAAATCGGTTCTGCGTTCTCGATGCATTTTGCAGAAAGGTATCGCTTTATTTTAGGACAACATGTATACACAAAGTACTGGAAAGTGCCCGTTCACAGCCAGGCTACTTTGCCATTGTCTATTAATAGAGGCGCCTACTCGTCACCGCGATTCGATACTACGCAAGAAACACGAATACTTGATATCTGGACACTATACGCAACTAAAGAACGATCGTGTTCCCAATGATCACGGCTTGGAATAACTTGGTCTTTTCGAGCGACCGATCGATTTAAAAAACTCGCTGTTTTTCGTCGGGGTATCGATACGCCTCTATCTACAAAACTTCACTGCCTCCGTTGGGAATATCTTCCGAGAATAACATCCGGAATAATTCGAAAATTATTCGAGCACGATCGTTGGTCGTCCACGTCGATCTCCCGTAATCGAATTTCGGGATCTACCTTCGGCACGCACACGCACGCACGCACGCTTGGGAGCGCAAACACGATATATCGCGCGAGCGAACAGGAGGACGACAGAGAGGAGAATGTACCGCGCGAACTCTGTTCGCTGTTGGCGAACTACTTGGGCCAGACCGCGAGTTCACAGTGGTTTATATAGAACCCAAGAGAGGATCGTCCCACGTATCGGCCAGAGAAGAGAGGAGCGTTGCCGATACACGCGTGGCCACGCGCCGGAGAGAAGAGGGACGTATCTAGCCGAGCTATAGAAACGAACCAACGGAGTGCAGCTTGCGTGATGCGCATCGTGAATAATTCTTTACGTATGCGTATTCGGTAAACTTTAAAGTTACGAACCAGCAAATCGGTCAGAAAGGGCAAACGAGGGGTCAGAGAGGGAAGCACATGGTTACGCTTTTTACTCTTGACGATCCTTTGTCTCGAACAAGAATCATAAGAGGATGGCACACGTTGGACAACCAGAAAGAACCCGAGAGATTTTTAGTCGAGCACGCGTTGGTAAGGCGTCGAACGAGAAATCAACACGCGTTCGCGAATGAAAAAAAGTATTCGCGCCGCAAAACCACCGTGCGTTGCTATTCTTAGACAACGATCGAAAGAGAAAGGAGCCATGAGGGGCGAAAACGAAACAAGGGAAAGGGGGGAAGGATAGAGAGACATATTAACAAAACGGCGCGCCGCGACGACGGGCAGATACGAGAGTACTATTTGCCGGGAACGGCCACGCTACGGACAAAATTTTTGAGTCCGTTCCAAACTTCAAATGCTACTGGCTTGACCTTTAGACAGCATTAGTCACCGAGTGAGTCAATTGGAAATTCAAGCTGTCGCAGCAGCGACGGGGCTTCTCCAACTATAACGGCGTTGCAAATATTTTTTTACGAATACGCGCGACGCAATCTGCGCCGCTGGACAGAACGATAAGACATTTAACGTTATTATGAATAAAGTATCTCGTAAGAGATTTCCGTTCAAGGTTATGCGTTATAATGCAAGCAAACAAAGAAAGGAACATTGTAATTTCAGCTGGATAAAATATTAACGTTGAACAAGAGTGTAGATCCGTTCGAGTCTATTCTATAAAATCGTATTATTTATATGTAGTTCGAACGTAACTGCGACAGTCGTACGATTTAGCATAATAAGCGACACCTTGCAATGTGATTAATCCGTGCACGAGTAATAATCGTCGATACGTGTCGCGAACCCGTTTTTTGTAAACAAGTATTTCGATAACCGAATGATTAATCGTCGGGAGATGGAAAATTCCGTTCTTTCTTGCTTTGACAACGAACCGTGGAAAGCGTTCGGCTCGTAAAAATAATTCGATGGTTTCCTGTGACCGATCGACGGTTCGAAATTATTCTTGGACCAGGCAAGGGAAGCGATGGTTGGTTACCAACCGAGACATCTGGACGAGATGCATCGACCGCGAATGGGCTTACGGACGGAGACGTTATTTCGCCAACGATGGAAAGAGAGCTCTCGTTACGACCGACGTATTAATTGATGTTAACAGCGAAAGATACGCCGTGCTAACGAACCGTGCTTTTTACTTAGTCGAACGAACGTGCCGCGCTTTAACGCTGAATTAATAGAAATGAATAGTTACGGTACTTATCCTCGCGATTTAATAAAACAAACTTGGCGACGTAGCTTTTGGATAAAAACTGGATTACTTTTTGCAGAAACCAATTAGATATTATTTTTAAACTGGTCTGTCGCGATACTTGAAGAGAAGGTTCGTTGTTTCGAGCAACAAGAACGAAACGCCGTGGCCGTCGTAGTTGCCATCGACGCCGTCGACGACGACACGCTCCGAGAAGCACGCACGGCACTCTCGCATATTCACCCTTTCGTCCGCTCTCTTCACCCTTTCAAGAGGGTCGCGAAACGCAACAGAAGAAGGGTGTGCGTGGATAGAGAGAGGCGGGTATCGATTTTATCATTCGTACACGCGATTTCAACCGCACGAGAAAGCCAGACGGAACGAACAGTCCCTGTTGGTCAACGATATTTCTTACTGGACGAAGATCATTCTTTTTTTTTTTATTGAATTCCCTTCGAATGGCGAGCTAAACGTTAATGATCTATGGGATCGTTCGATCTAATTACGTCTGTATGCGTGTACCTTTAACCCCTTAACGCTCATATTTTTCGGGTTAACCAAGAATGATCAGTTTTCTTTACTGGATTTGTTTCCAAGTTGTATAAAAATTTTGTTAATTGCAATGTTGTATCCGACGTATAATTTGAAGAAAAACAAATATCGTCATCCCTTAAACAATTAGATCGAAGAAATATCGTCTGTGTTGTTAAACAACACGACAAGCATAAACAAAATAAAACAAACATGCATGGGCCTCGAGAACATAATCAAGTTTTTTCTAGAAGTTTCTGTTCCTGGATCATTAATATTTGGGGGAAGTTCGTGTGCATAAGCATAGGCTTTCT